AAAACACTGTCACTGCCTAGATTGCTTCATTCCAACCCAACCAATGGGCGAAGTATAAGCGACCTAAGCACTTACAGGGGTAAGGCAACTGACGCAGCGCAATTAGACTTGAATCATAAACTTTGAATTTCTGCTCACGCAAAGCGCGCCGGGTGGCTAACGTCATATTGACCCTCTTTATTCCTTTATGTTTCAGGATTGGTGATAAATGCCTGTAAATGGTAGAAATGGTCACACCGCATTGGCGTGAACATACATTGAACTTATGTGCTTTCACAAATCTGCACACATGGATTCGCTGGTGCATTTCGCCCTGAGAAAGGTCGCAGCATGACGATCGAAACGTTGGCATCTGTGCCTATGTGGCGGCGTCTTCCGGGCAGACAAGTAGACAAGACTTGAGAATTGGGGCTAGGATACACATGCCCGATTTTACACTGAAGAGCCAAGATAACTGGTAAAGCCATGCGTATTGAAATAAAGATATTTGGAACCAATCAGCATATGGCGCTCCGATCGGCGACGACTACATTAGACAACCAGAGTCTGGCACAGTTGTTAGGTCGGTTACTGCTGCTTCAGTGGCTGGTTACCACGATTTAAGTGTATTTAAATGTGGTGTTATAGTCTCTGCAAGAGAGTTGGCGCCTAATTTTTAGTACATCACAGCAATTTGAGGAATGAGAACAATAAAATTTTAACTCATCCCTAACAACGATCACTAATTGCATTCACACCCACCTGTACACGACTACACTAAGACGTTCACACATTCACACATTAAGTATGATGAGGGTGTGGATACAACTTGGATAAATAATTTTTAAATAAATAACTTGTTCAATAAACAAATGCCCTTACGGCCTTGTCATTGGCTGTGCTTCTCTTTATGCAAAGTATACCAACAGTAATAAGAAACTATAACCAAGTAATTATGACGATAGTAAGATTTTTGGATTTACAAATAAGCATTATTTTAAGACATAATATTTAAAATCTAATAAATAATGAAAATTGTACTAACCTGGAGATAATCGTGTTCACAATGCTCAGACCTTTCAAGCATAAAATGAGAAAATGTAACGTTGATATAATTCCCATTTTTAACTGCAATGGTCCATTTACAATTCAAATTACTGGGATAGCGATTAGGAAAATTCGGGCTTTCAATTACACCTCCAAAACCCGAAAGTGTTACTTCGCATACTGAAATGTACATCAAAACCATTTAACACAGCTTTTAATGTTGCAGCAAATTAATTTAATTAATGTAAATAAAATAACATGATTCATGTAATATAATTATATATAACAATAAGTGTACGTTTCATTCAGTAAAACAACACACTCTATTCTGTCCTTTTAATGCTTTTATTATGTCTATAAAGTCAGTTAAATTACGAAGGTGTGATTGAAGAGTTCGCTAGTGGTGCACAGGCTAGAATGGCACAGGTTTTCCTGTATTAGTTTTTTTATTTTATTTGGTCTCGGCTAGTTTCTTGGACTTGTAACATACTCTTGCCTGCTGCCATCTATGCCCACCCAAAGTATATTTTTTTGGAATTTTCTTAATTTTTGGTCTCCTAATAGTAGAACAGAAATATTATTTCAAGACCATTAAAGACCAGTAGAACATCGTCCTATATCCCAATTTTCTTTAAAAATCTTGGAGCTGTTTTTAAGAAAATTACGTTTAAGCGCTACTGTAAACTCGAAATTTAAAGGTTTTTTCCCAGAACATTTTTGAGTTTTCGGAAACTTCATTTGAAGTAATTTTAAGTGTTTTAACTGACAAATACAATAATGTTTACAAACTGCTGGAAATGTGTATATCGTGAGAAATCATTAAAAAATTATATTTGTGTAATTTTTGAAAAAAACAAAACCATATATCAAAATGAACTTAAAGTCGTATTAAAGAGAGCAATTATCACTATCCGTTCGAAATGTTTGAAGGAAATATTTGGGGCGGTTTTTGAGAAAAATGGCGTTTGAGCGTTTCTGAAAATGCAGAATTTTGAGCTTATTTTTACAGAAAACGGTTGAGTTTTCGAGAAACTTTTATGACAATATTTAAAGCAATTGTACTAATAAATACAATAATGTGAACAAATTGCCGATAACTAAATTGCCGATATTTCCGATAAATATTAACATGAGAGAAGTCATAAAAATTACATTTTTATAATTAAAAGCAATAAAAGTATAGAGCAATACGAGCAATACACTTATGTCATCATAGAGTACATTTATCAGTATCCCTGACAAACGTTAAAAGAAAAAAATTGAAGCCGTTTTTGAGAAAATCTTATTGTAATTTTTTAAAATTACTCGTTGTGCGTGCAATATTGCATAAAAACTACTGAATTTTTCAAACAAAATGTACAATGAAAGTACTTACTGTGAAGAACAAATTTTATTTGATGGAAAAATCTCTATCTTTAATCTTGTTGTTGTAGATGGACACCAAAAACAAATCATACTTTGAATTTTTCGAAAATTCAGAGTTAAGAGTGAAAATCGGAACTATGCCTCATTTGTAAGTGCATGTTATCCTATTGTTACAAAAAATTTAAAGAACAAATTTGTGGTTGTCTTTGAAAAAAATTAAAATGTCAGAGGGTTTAATGTAAAGTACCCCCAAATTTTGAATATTTTTTTTTCAAAATCTTGAAGCCTCGAGCCTGATGGACAGGAGTTTCTTCAATTATAAAAAAATCACAGACACCAGATGGACGGACGGGCAGACAGACAGATCGTTTTGAAACAAATACTTTTTCGGTATCAGGGGACCCCAAAACGTGTATTTCCGTTGAAATCTCGAAATCGATTTTCCGCAGCATTACAGAACTTTCCCCTATGTTGCGTATATTACTCTATATATACGTACGTATACGGGAAAGTAAAATACGTTTGAGATCTCAAAATGGCACCACTCACAATCTATTGAAAAGTATTTCATTCCATGAACACACATGCTCCAAAAGAGAATCCACTTTTGAAGCATTCTTGGAAATTTTGTTTCTTAAACTTTTTAGAAGACTCCTCCTTGAATCATGAATTAAGTCAAAACGGACCTCTTTCAGCAATGAAATGTTCAAGCATTAGGAAACCTAAGTTGACAGAGGTCTATGTGGAGAATAAATGGGTTATGGAAACAAAGAAAATTTGAAATTGACCAAATGTTCCAGTCATCATAATTATTGTTTCGCCAGAATTTAGATCTTTTCTTCCGCACTTTTTCACCCAAATGTGATGAACACTTATTCTATCCAGTATTATTCTAATTCCGCCTCCATGTCACAAAGTTCAAAACAAACGTTAAGCTGAAAGAATCTGTCCAAAACAAAAATATCCACAAGAAATATGTTGAATATAAAAGGTGACCCTAGTGATCCTACAAAACTGGAAGAGACTATCTCGACAATCTGTAGCGTCTGTATCTCGTACAATCGATTTGGCCTCAGAAGGCTCGATTCCCTTAGAAACTGTTTTTTGATGTCACAGCCAATTAATGTAATCGACCACGAGAGGGGGTTTCGCCGAACGTTATGTTATATTTTGTTCAAGGAGAATGATCGATTGATTACTAGAAACTCCGGGCGCGTTAACGTACAAACTCCAACGCGTTGATAATGTCAATAGTCCCGTAAGTGTAGCGCATGTTTTTGCTCGGGAGGTGGCTGTGATCTTCTTCGCTGGATGGTGAGATCTGGCACCGAGCTACCGGCGGCTGGTGGGTTTTCCCCAACCAGGTATCTTCCACCAGCGGGGCGCCGCCCTAGCCGGGACAATCTGTAAGTTCCCAACCGGTTTCCCGCATGTGCAGTAGTGTAGTGCATGTGAATATAAGTGTGTGTAAGTGGTGAGGATATGACAAGAAATGGAAAGGACAGATCGCGCGCGGTCCGTAGCGCAACGATTTAATTTGAATCGATAAGTAAATATTAATTTTGGAGGAAATCGGCTGAACGGCTTATATACTAGCGTTGTGCAGGAACAAATTTACGGTCAGACGGACGGACGTTTTGCCATCAATCGATTTTTCGTTATCAAAGACGCACAAAACATGGATTCTGAGTTCACCATGTGTAAGAGGATTTTTCTGAATTTAGCGACAGTATTTTTTGTTGCGATGGCCTGGCAATAAAGTTTTTCTGCCAAAAATTCGCAGTTTTCCGGCTCACAATTACATAACTTTCTCTTCTTACGAAGTAAGTATGAGAAAGTGAAAGATGTGGCAGAGATCGATCCCCATATTTGAAGGACAAAACGAAACGAGTTTCCCCAATTGCATCTTCGGAAAAACCTGTCTTAAAGCTTATCACCCACACTCCGTGTAATTGTATGAAGATGCACAGAACATACGAAGATTTCACATCTTGCAGGAACTGCATTCTCAACACACTCCTTTTCATACGTACCTGTGTCGTATTTGATGGAAAATCCACGACCATGATGACTTGAGTCAGATTTGAATTTGATAAACATATTATTGGAGTTGGATCGAATCAGAAGCGGATGAGAGTTAGAACAATATTTTCCAAGAAGCTTACCAGTTGAGTCAACACCATCATAAAACTTGAAAAGGAATGAAAATTGGAGTCAAATTTTTATTTTCAAACTACTGTAAAATATGTGCACAAATTGGCAATTATTATAACAAATAACATAAAATCAAATAGTTCATAATTTACATAAAATAAAATAGAAATATATTAATAATATTGATCTCAAGACTAGGACAAAAGAACTAGATATAGTAAATTTGCTATGAACAATTCTTTAAAAATACAACTTCTCCAAATCGCTAAACAAAACAGGAAGAAGTGGAAAAAGCACAGAAACAAGTCAGACAAGATATAAAAAAATACAGTTGTGGAATTAGAGCAGAAATGTTCAACAATTTTGTCTGCTTCTTCTTTAAAGTTATTGATTTCGAGCAACTAAATAATCAGGTAATTTTTCAATGCTACAAATTGATGGTGTAATGTACTTACAGCTAAATAGTCGTACAGACATCGCCGAGAATATTCTAGATCAAAATCTAGAAAAATAACTTGAACAATACTTCCTTGACTAGTAGAGATCTTGTAAAAACATTCAGTGTTTATACTATATTCATGAGGATAGTAAGGAGAAACAATGTGACCAGATTTTCCAGTCAATGTTCCTCCACATCCTGGAGGCAAAAATGATGTATATAATGAAAACTGAAGACAAATTGTATTATTTTAAATGAAAAAGTTTCAGTAAATTCGAATATAATTGATTTAACTGAAATAATCTATCTCAAACTTGAAACTAAAAGTCTAGAAAGAGAATCAAACCTGTAATTGTTCCATCCCACGTAATATTAAATCCCCTAAGACTGTGTGAATAGTCAGTCTTAAATCGTAAGTACAAATGATTGCTAATTGAAGGAATTGGTGTTGATATCTCTCTTCCACAGTATCTCCCTATTAATGGCGAAGACGCAAGTATACCATTTCTAAAAAATAAAATGAAAACATCAGAGCATAGAAACAAAAATCATATGTCATGAACAAAAATTCAGAATGGGCGTGTGTATAATTTTCTTTAATGAAGAATGAACATTTAAGATGAAAAATAATAAACTAACAGTGCACGTTTTCAGCAAGCAACAAAAATTAACTCCAATTTGCTATTATAAAGCTAGAAGAGACAATGAAATAACGTATTTTATGAAAACATTCGTCTAACAACACACAAAGAAATCAACAATAGATTTTAAATTCTCTATACTATTTTCCATTTGCATTAAAAATAACAAATAATAGATTTCGCTTGGAAGCGACAGTTCTTCCAGGCAGTCAACACTGCTCTGTCAAAACTAATACACGTTTGTTTTATTTCGGCTTAGCCGAGGGTTTGTGTATTTTCAGATGGGTTGCAGTTCGCACGCATTTCGAGTTCTACTGCTATGTGTAAGTAGCTGGTGCGGGTTCGCGTCGGACCTTAGTAAATAACCAAATCGGCTTTTGGATTGAGCTATGCCCTCCGAATATCAGAGGGGAACGCATGTCTTCTTTGTCCTATTGTGAGGACGTGTCTAGCTAATTGTTTTAGCGTTACCGGAGCTTCGTTGGTTTCAAAGGCTTGATAAGCTTCGTTAAACAAAAGCCGTCTCAAGCATTGAGTGAAGGACTCAATATCAAGTACTTCCAACCGTTTTCGAAACGGAGGGCGTGTTATGAGCCGTACAACTTGGTTCTGTACAAACTCAAGTGTATCCTTGTACTTCTGTGGTATGGTCCACAACATTAACGCAGCGTAGGTGGCCGGAAAAGCGTTTTATAGAGTGTCAAGAGAAGTTCCAAGGGTTGTGTAGGTTCCCTCAAAAGAGGTTGTAAGAGTCGAACTCTTAGCTGTAATTTTGATCGAATTCGCCTCACATTTAATACTGACGAATCCTTCGATCAAATGTGATTCCTAAGTAAGTTGCCCTAGGTGCCCATGTCAGTTTTTGTGTGCCAAGTGTAATTTGTTTTGGTAATGTAAATCGTTTAGTGTATTTGTATTTACGGCGGATGTAACAGATTACCTATGACTTTTCCGCTGAGGAAGTCAACAGGTTTTGTTCCGCCCACTTCAGCGTCAGGTTTATCCGTTTTTGAAGTATTTTTAGTCTGTGGTCTAGGTCTAAGACGGCTATGTCATCAGCGTAAACGAAAAGCCGTACTCGTGGTATATGTGGGATGACAGCGAGAACAGTAGCGGAGAGAGGACGGAGCCCTGAGAGACTTACGCAGCAATCCTCCGCTTTGAGGATCTCGCTTTGCCCACATTGACCACGAATGCGCGGTTTGTTAGGAAATACTTAACCATTTCGGTTACGTTTGTGAAAGGCAGCGCCGAAGTTTTGTGATGAGTGTACTGTGTGGCACTTTGTCAAAGGCTTGCACCACGTCGAGATATAGGACAGTTACATCCTGTGTAACTGGAAATCTGCTGAGCCATGCAAAATGCTTGTAGTGAAGCGGAATAGCTCAGTCTAAAGGCAAACTAATCTCGGATGAGGTTTGACGACAGAGCAGTTGGCGGAATTCGCGCGAGTAGCCTTTCCAATACATTTCCCATAACAGGAACGAGACAGATTGGCCTATGGCTCGCAGCGATCGTGAGATCCTTACCAGGTTTTGGAAGCATGGAGATACTTGCGAGTTCCCAATTTTCCGGAAAGTACCGCTGCGCAACACAGCTGTTGTAGATTCGCGTAAGCTCCGTGTTTATGACCGGTAGGGCCTCCTTAAGAACGGGAGGACCTACTCGGCGAGAGTCCGGTGCCTTGAGACAACGCAAGCATTTAATTGTAGTCGACTGCATGATGTGTAAGTGTATTGGCGCTGTCGTCCGTTTCCTCATCTAGCGCCTACGTAGTAGTGTTAACAAACCTCTCTTCACGCATGTCGGCAAAGAGTTCTGCCTTGGCTTGATCTGAGAAGAGATAAGTTTGTTTACCCACCGCATTGTCGTGGCCACGTATGGAGGTTGCTGTTTTAGGTACTGACCATAGCGCTTTTTGGAGTTTGACAAGGTTGTTTCGAGAATTATCAAAACCGACCTACCTCAACCGCTTTTCCCACTCTGCTGGGTGATGGTTTGCGAGCACACTGTTCTGGCGTTTTTCGCATTCCCGCACCTGTGTTCTAAGCGCAGAGAACCTAAACTGCTGTCAAAGTCAACTAGCTTCGCGTTTTTCACGCATAAGCTCTTCGACATCTTGAGAAAGCATATGTGAACCCTCTTCGGGCGGGCGCCAGAAAAGCGGCGTGGCCTTTCCGTGAGCTGTTTGTATATTCTTTGTGAGTGTGTGTAAGCACGCGCCTATAGATTCTGTGAATCCATTGTCGGCGAGGTTTGTGCTGGTGTGTATAGTTTTGCGAGTTGATTGCAAAACTCATCCCAGTCAGTAGGTTGTGGGATCCCCTGCCTAGGGTCGCAGTAGACGCGAATGCAACCAACTGCGAAGGTAATGGGGATGTGATCGGAAAGGGAGAAGGAAATGAGTTTGGGAGTAGACTCGAATATTCCCTCATGTGAGCGCCACATCGAGGATTTCGGGTCGGAAGCGAGGGTCAGTAGGGAAGCGGGTCGGTGTGGAGGGCGGGATGAGTGTCACAGTGTTGTATGATAGCAGGAAATTTGTAAGTTTCCATTGCTGTTTCTTATGTTACTGCCCCATTCCTCACACTTGTCCTTTTCTCCATGAAATGCGAGTGCTGCCATGAGCTGGTGTAAAGTATTGAATGATGGTTCTAGTTATAGTTTTTGTGCTCTGTGGTGTTACTACTATTCTGCCAGTGTGTGAAATTAATACATCTTTGTGGTATTTATATTTACAGCAGTATGCCAAAAAGAAAAGTCTTGATTAATGACGTACTTATAACATCAAAGCGTTTATTGCCAAGTTCATAGCAAAGTAAAGTTTTAATTCTTGAGGGAGATTTCTTCATCAACCAAATACTTGTCGTATAAAAGTATAAAGATAGTAATTATAATGAAGTAGGCCTATTGTGTGATTGTGAAAATTATGACAATGATTAAAGTCTTTATTTTGTCAGTAATAAGTGTTTTGTTAGTTATAAGTATTTTGTCTTTAAGAAAAAATATATTATTATATTAAAACATTTCAAATAAAATGTCCTTTTTTATATGAAATGACCTCTTTTTTTAAATGAAAGTATTGTAACCATAGCCACGCGTCACTCACAGCGTAATCATACGTTGTTCGGTTTTCATACGTTGTTCGGTCACATACAGCGTTTTTATCGGTTTCATACGCCAGGCAAGATCGTACAACAACACAGTTTCTCAGTTCGAGTGATATAAAAGTCGGACTAGTTTCAATATGACGCTCACATCAGAATTGCCACATTAGAATCTATTGTCAATACTTTCGCCCATAGTTTTGAAGAAATGCAAATGCAAGTAAACAGTAATGAATATTCATTCTACGTAGTAAAAATCGTGGACTTTGGCAACGAGTCTAGGGAAATACCCTTGAAAACGCACACTTCAAAGAAAGGGGGTTATGGGCAACATTCAAGAACACTTTGTGATACTTAATATAAATATTTGAAAGATCGTACATTTGATTCAGGTCCAAAACCTTAAGAATTTTTCAAAATGATTAAAATCATCAAATAAAATCACTATGAAAGTTTATATATTATGTCAAGAGAAAGTATAAATACCTTATTTCAAGATAATCCCACATGCAATTGCTGTGCCTCTCCAGCCAAAAATCAGAAACGTTTAGCAAAATTTGCTGTCCAGATGGCACGGATATTGTCCATGTGCAATCTATGTTATGAGGATATGAAGATGGATAACCAGGAGACAGTATCGTGCCAGTTGAAGACACAAAATTGGCACTACAAACTAAGGAAACATAAATTAATTAATTAGATCTGAATAGCTGTAATTAATTTGAGATGCCAAATATAAATATCTTACGGTTAGAAGCATCCGTTAGTAAATATCGAGCAATAAATCCAGTAAATCTTATAGAGTAATCTGTTCTAAAGACTATTGTTACAATATTAGACGTGGATGTCATGTTGGGAGGACTCATATTTCCACAATATCTGAAATATTTACAAGCAATTTATTAGTCATGTGCTCATTATATTCTGAAAGATACTTATCTTCTAAAGGTTCACGATTAAAGTATTGTAAGAGGGTACCTTCTGTTTCCAACCCGTACTCCAGGCTGTCCTTCTGTAACATTCTCATATACCTCCACATAATCAAATGAGCAGGCATCTCCAAACATTCCTGTTTCTCCTTCAAGATTAAAGTTAATCCAATTCAAATTAATTACATTCCCGGCATCAGCCACAATTACCCATCGGCACATATGATTATTGGGATAAAAGTTTGGATACCGAGGTGTTTGTATGGTACCTTCTTGATTTCTAATTATACCTCCACAAGCTGCAATAAGAAGCAGAACATCATTATAAAGTAATCTTGTCAAAGAATGAATGTGTTTTTAAGTATTACAAGAAACTATATCCATTTACTGTACTGTAAAACTATATTATACAACTTACTATAAAATAACTGTAAATATTTATCGATAATCAAATCAAGAAGTTAACGATTTTTATAAAAAAATGTTTCAGTTAGTTAATCAAGCAGCATACTCAACAGTCTCGCAAACGATTCCCAAACTTCAACAGACATTAAAAAGTGCATGGATAAAGGATCCGTTCATGCAATCTATCTTTGTATATAGGCTGATTCAGTCCTCGTTGCTATTTCAGTAAACCGTATTCAAAATTTTGAATAAATTAGTTTTTTGTGTCATTGGTCATTGTTTTGCAAGAAAAGTAGCCCAAATATTGTTCCCTGTTGCTATTATTGCCTACTTATCTAATGAATATGAAAGGAGAGTGAAAAAACTATTATTTAAGTATTGTTTAGTTTATCACATTTGCGTATGTGACCCAAATTTCGCATTTCCACCTCGTGTAACAGGGGCTCTGCAAGAGTTCAAAATGGCGTGAAGGCAGGGTAGGCATCTGCACCGCTCAGCCTCTGTGACACGCACAACTTTGCCGGGTTGTGCCTTTAATTCTGCCGCCACGCTTTCAATGCGCCGTAAAGGTCATCACGATCCTCAACTTCGAAAGCATACACGCGGTCTTTCATTAACACCCAGCTCCAAAAACGTTAGGAGTACCTGAGTTATAAAATTCAAATGCTGAACGCCTCTTAAACGCTTGGGTAAGCACTGAGTACGTAGTGCAACGTGTGTATTTCCTCGGCCCTCACATGCAGAAACGAAATGTCAATTTTTTTCAAATATTGCTAATCTCACGCTTTTTTTAAATTTATTTTTACTTATTTATTTTAAACTTTTACCTATCTTTTAACTATTTATAGTTGTAAAGACGGGAAGGGATTCTGGAACTCAAGAAAACGCGCGCAGATAATCTTCTCCCCCATACGTCACATACAGTTTTATTTGACTAAATAGATCTAAATCTAAATGCTTCGAAAATTGAAAACGACATTATTAGTGTCTACTGCGCATTGCTGCACCCGCTGGAAATGAAAAAGTAATCTCTTCACGTGAATTGTTCGCCAGGTGACGGACTTTGCTGCGACCTCGCGCGCTGTTTGCCTTGCGCTCGATTCCGGGGCTTATCTGATAGTATAGTAAAAACTGAGTTTTCCAGAAAAGAGGCGAGGAGATGTGAGCCAGACTCTCGCTCTCTTACCGGAGCCCCTGTTACAGGAGCACAAGCGCCAAGTTTTACTTAAATTATTTACAAAAGAAGAGAAGCCAGTTTTGGCAAATGCATTACATAAGGGATAAGATCCCATCGTATTAGCAACGTGCAATGAATCACCATGTACAGTGGCTCACTTTAATATACTCCATAAATCGTATGTTCTGCGATATTTTGACAGTGAAACAGAATTTCTCCTTTATTAACGGATAACAGTGTAAACAAAACAAAAATGCAGAATGTAGTTGACGCATTCAATAAAAAAGAAAACAAACGTAAATTGTCTGGATTCATTAGCCACAGTAATATTCGGACACGTGAAATGAAATGTAATATAAATGGATAAATAAATAAACGAAAAGAAAATTAATACTTTGAAGCATAACCATTGTTGTCCATGAAATGCTGCTATCGCTTTGGCATTGAACCAATAATACTCTTCAGATACTGTTGTCCAATTTGTGTCCATTCTTCATGGATTCTCGCTTGCAGATGACTTTGACGTAATTGGGATTCTCCTGGCTGTACATTTCAATTCATGCCATAAATTCTCAGGAGGGTCAGGAGACTGAAGCGGCGTTTCCAGTACCATTGCCCAATTGTAAAACAACCATTCGCCCACTAAATATTATTTGTGTTTCGGGTCGTTGTCTTGATAAAATTTAAACGAGTTCCTCATGCCTAGTGTGTCAGCAGATTTTTGTGAATTCTCTTTTAGTATGTTGAGATACTGATGTTTGCCCATTGTGTCTTTAATAAACACCTTCTCCCCAAGCCAGCAGCTGATATGTAGCCCCAAACCAATATGTGTCCACCTCCGTGTTTCACAGTTGACACTACGTTTTTAGGATGCAATTCTGTATTTGGTTTGCACCATGTCGTTTTCCTATCGTCACTGACAAAAATATTAAACTTTTTCTCACCTACAAAAATTACCTCACGCCACCACTTTTGAGTTTGCAAACGAATACGTGACGAAATCAGAAGTCGGTCAGCTCACTCTATTCCCAGCACCGATAAAGGCTTTCTTCCTGGACGCTCTGCTGTGACATCCGGCATTCCTAATTACTCCGTGCACTGTTTCGGGGTGCAAAGATGACCCTGACGCTTCGCGCAGTTCCACTGCCAGCGGAACAGCTCTCATCTTCGGATATTCTCTCAAAATTTCACGCTAATCTCTTTCACAGATCTTACGTTGTCCTTGTTGCGATTTACACACAATTCTGTCTTCCTTCTCAAATCTCTTGATGATATCGTGCACCGTACTCTGGCTCATGAGCAGCAAGATTTGCAATCTCCCTGCTGGAGCGTCCCTTTGCGTGGTGGAAAACCGCAAGTTGCTCTGCTCGAATATTGTGTAGTTTCCCTTGTGCGTCATTGCAAGAGGCGTTTCCAGGCGGAAATGTTAACAGCGACAGTCTGCATAGTTTCATTTGACCTGGGTAGGCGATGGTGCGCGTATCTAGGAAAGTGGCGAAGGGGTAACAGGACATTTTCTATTACGTGTCCGAATATTAATGTGACATCGTATTTTTGCATTTTAACACATTAATCCGTGTTTATGAAACGCATGTTATGCATCCGAAACATTTTCTTTGTATTATTATATTTCTTAATAATAAAGGCACAGTTCCTTTGCATTTCCTCCCATGTAACTTCCGCCCACGTGCGAAAAAATGTATTCAAACAAGAAACACCTTCAGCATTTCTGGCTGTCCGAATTTTAATGTGAGCCACTGAATATATGTATATATTCCGAATGACTGAGCCGCAATATGTACTCAAAAGTTTGTTTGAAAAAATACTTTCTATGCAAACATTTGTATTGCAGAGACATATAATTACTCTAGAAACATATTAATTGTATATTATTTACAAAAGAAGTTAATTTAATATTTATTCAGAAAAAATTAATACAAATAAAAAGCACCCAATGTACACAATGTGACTGTTTTTTTTAGTTTCCCGTATGTACGTACGTGTATACGGGGTAATACACGTAGTATAGGGAATGTTATGTAAAGCTATGGAAAATCGATTACGAGATTTCAACAGAAATACACGTTTTGGAGTCCCATAATACCGAAAAAATAGTTTTTTTCAAAACGTCCTTCTGTCTGATGTATGTGAACAACACTAGCACCTAAACCATGCGTAGGATTTTTTCCAAATTGAACAAAATCCTGTTTGTTTGGCTTGAGTCGAAGCTCTGCGATTTTGAAAACCATTCATTAGTTTCAGGGGGTACTTTACATGAAGCCTCTTGGACATTTTCAAATTTTTCTCAAAGATGACTAGAATTTTTGTCTTCAAATTTATTGTAAGAATAGAGTAAAACAAGTTTCAAAAACAAGATTTTCTCAAAAATCGACTCCAAATTTTTTCTTTAAACTTTTGATAGGGATAGTACTAAATGCACCGGCCATCTTGCTCTATTTTTTGTTTTTTCTTCAAAAATTACAAAAATGTAATTTTGTATTTGTCTCTCACGTTGTTAATATTTATATTAGCTGCAATTTGCTCACATTATTATATTTATGAGTACATGTGCTTTAAATAATGTCACATAAAGCTTCTCGAAAACTCAACCGTTTTCTGTCAAAACTAGCTCATAATTTCGCAAATCGCAGAAATGTTCAAACGCCATTTTCTCAAAAATAGATTCAAATTTGTTATTCGAACTTTCGAAAGGATAGTGCTAAATGAACTGTTTAAGATGACATAGAATTAATTTTGCAGTATTCAATTGTTTTTCAAAAATTACACAAATGTATTTTTTTTAAATATCTCGCACGCCTTGAATATGCACATTTACAGTGATTTGTAAACACTGTTGTATTTGTGACTTAAAGCATTGAAATGACATCTAATGAAGCTTTTCGAAAACTCAATAGTTTCTGTGAAAAAGAACTTCAAATTTCACATTCACAGGAACGCTTCAACACCATTTTCGTAAAAATAGCTCCAAATTTTTCAAAGAAAATGCCAATTTGGATGAGGTTTTACTATTCTTTAATATTTTTAAAATATTATTTCCGTTCTACTATTAGGAAGCCAAAAAATTAAGAAAGTTTCAAAAAAATGAACTTTGGGAGGCGATAGATGGCAACAGGCAAGTCCGAATAGATAGCCATTTTTCGATTCATCGAAATAGAATAGTTAATATTCTATTACCATAACATATTTTAATTTATCTGGAATACTTTACTAACGAAAACTTATCGAAGTAGGAAAGATAAGTAGATGCATTATACGGGCTATTCGTAACGAGCCGAGTCAGTCATTGCGTCAGAGACATGGCTCGTCCTGGATAGCCTAGGCAATATGTGCTAGTACAAACTCCGGCTAGGCAATCACCCCAAGAGTAATGTTTTATTATGTTGAATGTTTAGAGCTCGAAAAAAAAATTCTATGTTCGCAAGTTTGCTCAAAATGTCCATTAGACGTACATTTTAACATTCGGTCACCTATGGAAATAATTTGTTGTTGGGTTTTGTTTTCTGTCCTCGTAGAGACAATAGACGTTGCGGCTACACATCACTTGACATTCTAGTTTTATAGAGTGAGGATCATTTGGTCTTGTGCTGTGAATGTACTCATGCGGGCGAAAAGACGGAATACTTCATTTGACCAGCGACAACTTCTGATGTCCAATCACGAAAAAGTATATTATACAAGAGAAATGGGCAAAATTATCAGTCGATCTAAGAGTACAATTCACGACATCGTAAGGCGATACAAATGAGAGGATATCCTTAAAAGGATTGTTCACTGAGACTTACTGTGAGAGGGAGACGCTGTATTCTGAGAAAGTCAGTAAGAATCCTCGATTAAATACGCCAAAAATTGTTGCCGAGTTATTAGAAAAATGTGGAGAGAAAGTGTACCACAAAACCGTAGAGAAAGTAGTAAGGAGAAAGCCATTTATAAGCGAGATCAATGGAAAGAAAAGACTGGAAATGGCGAAGCAGTTTGTAAATAAGAGGTCAGAGTTGTGGTCGGATGTAAGTTTTGCTGACGAAATCGAGGTAACCTTGCCCAAAATGTGGAGGAATGTTATCAACGTCTCACATTATCCATGAATGTTTAAACCTCCAAAATATAAAAAACTCTCTTGAACTCAAAAACAAAATTTATGAAATATTTATGTCCATTCAAGGTTGCAAGTCAATTTTAAATTATCTTAATATTGCAGATCATGATAACATGATCTGATTATCGAAACATTAATTGTATTTAATATTTCTGTTTATTCTAATGTATTTAATGTATCTCTGATGGAAATCAAAAGTGTTCGCTAATGCCATTAGATGCTTTTAAAGCTACCTACAATAAATAATAAAAATACAAAACTTGGGGCAATCTCATGACAGAACTATAGTTATGCGCGACGTCAAGAAATGCTTCAAAAATCGAAATCTGCATTAGAGTGTTAAGTGCGGCGAAGGCAGTACCGTGATGTGGGGGTGCATATCTTCGTCTGAAGATGAGTAAGAGCTGGTAATACGGGATATCTTTATACTTTATCAAGACAATGACCCAAAATATAAAGCCTACATTTTGCGCAGCTCTTTAACTGCCCCAATGTCTTGGAAACACCCCCTCAGTCTTCAGACAACCCAATCAAGAATTTTTGGTACGAACTGAAAGTCAGATTACATTGTTTTTTAAATCCACGAGAGAGGAATTGAATAGAAGTATCTATTGACAGTTCGTACATTAAAAGAAATACTGCAAGTAATCAGAATCGATTGTAAGAAGTCATTTCACAGAAAAATGATCCTACTAAATACTAATATAATAATACCATGTGAAAATATTATTAATTTAAGAAGAGTGACGGAATATTACAATAGTCCTAACCTTTCTTCCGTTCTTGAGAAAGGTTTGTGTTTGATATTTTTAATATTGCCCAAAAAACCCTACTAAAATTGCCAAAACATGTACATGACTTTAATGAAAGAACTAATTGTGGAGAACAACTTTATTTTGGTGGAAAAAATATTAATATTCACTTTGTAGTTGTAGAAAAACTTTTTAAAAAAATTCAAACTTTTGCGGTTTGGGAATTTCAGAGCTAACAGTGAAAATCGTACCACTGCCATTTTATAATATTTGTATTATACTTAATATTTGTATATATAATTTGTATATATTGTATTTCACTCTATTCTGACAAAAATAAAAAAACTATTGGTTCTAAAATATAGATAAAACGGTTTTAAAACTAGTGGGTTCTAAAAGCACGAACTTTCTCCCCCCAGAATTGCGTGAAAAATACTAAAATTTTCGAAAAAGAGTTCATGACCTGATTTAAAAATTTTTCTTTAAGGAACGGATTTCATTAAGGGAAAAATCTGTATCCTAAATATTTTGGTTGCAGGAAGACTTCGAAAAAAATTTGAACTTTCGCAATTTTCGAAAAATCAGAGTTTTTAACGAACATGAAATGCGCACCATTCTCTTAAACGTCGTTCACACTATCCAGAAACAAAATTTAATAATAATTTTTTGAAAATTTGGAAAATGTTCCAGGTGCGTCATGTAAAATACCCCCCAAAATGAAAATTTCGGTTTCAAATTCAAGGGGCCACGACATCAACCATTTCGTTTGGGGAATACCACTTTTGAAGAAAATCGGCTGAACGGTTTAGCCGCTAGCGTTGTTCACCGACGGACAGGCAGACGGACGGGCAGACGTTTTGCCGTCATACCATTTTTCAGTATGAAGAACCCAAATATGGATTTTGGCTAACCCACGTGTTAGCAGATTTCTCCCTCTCAATTTAGCAACTAGAGTTATCCACTTTTTCGTTACCAGAATCTTGTAATAAATGTTTTTCTGACGAAAATTTGCCGTTTCATAACTTTCTCTTTTTCATAACTCAGTACTTTGTAGGGAAAAAGTAAAAGTTGGAGCCATATTTGAAAAAGTTTTGAAAATGTTGCAGTGACCTCACGTAAAGTATATTTCAATTGACTTCATATTATAACAGGATTTATACACTTTTGCTGAATCAGGACTAACACGAGGTTTCGAAATATCACCGGTTTCTGCCGCAGCATTACATGACTCTGTCTATACTATGTAAATTACTCCGTATATACGCACATAGTATACGAGAAAATAAAATCAGTATTATGAAACCCCAGTCAATATAAACTATGTATTTAAAAAAAGAAAATGTTTACTTAAGTCAACAATACGTACACACATCTTCTGTTGTATAATTAGCGTAGAAACCTTTAAATTCCCTACTACTATCTGTATGAAACTTCAGCCACAAATAATTGTAGGTTGATACTATAGTTGGCGGGAATTGGGTGCCACAGTACTGCCCCAATAAAGGAGCTTTTTCATCATGCCCATCTCGAATCTGAAAAATATCATTCGCATTATTTTATTAATATTAATATTGTATTGTCTCACAGTATATTTGTAACATTTACTCACTGTATTTTTCTAATATTTCCAACACTTTTAGATATTAGACATATCAATTATCACTGGCATATCACTTATCAAACTATTATTATTATTATTATTATTATTATTATTATTTCATTGACGGAAATATTTTAAAAAATGTATGATGTTCAAATACTGATTTACGAACCTCAACAAAATCATAGCATCTGGACGAATATCGACTCTTTGCTTCAAGCGTAAAATCAAAAAAGTTTAGAGTAATTGACTTTCCCAAAGGTTGCTGTATTTCATAAATACAATTTTTATTTCTTGTGTACTTTGATGGATACATTGGACTGGTGATGTGACCAGCTTCTTCACCAAATATACCACCACAAACTGAAAAATCAAGATAGTAATTTACGTTTAAAGGAAGTAAAATGTTACTTTACGAGTGAGATTTTCCAGCCGAGGCGACATTATAAGCCAAGGTTGAAATTGCGAACCCGTAATGTAACATTTTCGCCCTATCGTAATATGTTTTTTATCATACTAAGTCGCATTTCTGTCCTTTTAATTTAATAACATATTGCAATAGTTCAAGATGGAGGAGTGCCAATAAAGAATTGCTCACGACAGCAGAGCCCCCTAGAATCTTGAAACTGAACAATTTCATGATCTGAACGTTTTAAAATTATATTGAAAGATAAAGAAATGCTTTGAAAAATGGTTGTTAATAAAGACTTGCAATTGAACAATTAAATCTTAAGAAATCTGATGAAAGGTATAAAAGTATGAACAATTATGTTCCTGTTAAAATACAAATAATATTAACATGGTTAAAGAAGATGTAATGTTGGCTTACCAACGCGATAGAAATCTAGCTCTAGAGAGAGTAATTCAAATTCGTTGCGGCTTACTCAGTGGAGCTCGGAAGTTTGACAAAATGCTTTTTGATATTGACTGTTACCAATAGGAATCTCTTAATTTGGAGATTAATCTAACTTAATTTAACTTCTGGAGTTATTTCAGTAAATTTTAATTTTGCCTATTTTTGACATTTTGTCTTATTTTTGCCGATTACATAATTTTGCTTTCTTATTCTCCTGACATCGATCTCAATCAAGTTGGAATTTGGACCACCCCTATAACTTCTAAACAGTTCAAGATATGGAAATTTAGTTTTCGCTCAACAATGTGAAATCATGGGGCAAGTAATGTGCTGTAGAGATATTGTTCAAAATATTTGTAGTTTCTGAGAAATTTAATCATCTTTAATTTTTTAGATGGAACCAGGAATTTATCTCACTGACAATAGAGAGATCATAAATACACGAATGCAATGATGTAACATATGTTAAGGTTTTGATAGTATTTGGAGTATAAAATTATACTTTCTGTCACGTGATTTTAAATTAAATATACAAGATTTTCTGTAGCAACCCTTTCATCTGTCTTCTTAGGGGAGGTTGCTTTCGCGGCACCAGCACTTTTACGGCGACATGGGAGAGGCCGCGAAGGTCACGTTCGTTTAAAGTGACAGTTGCGACGGCAGATGCAGGAAAAAATGCACATTTAATTTAAAATCTCCGGTCATAAAGTATTATTTTATGCACAAAATACAATCAAAATATTAATATATGTTCCTAGTATACAATATTTTTAATGATCTTTAATGATTTCCATTTAAAAAATCAAAGATGAATACATTTGTCGAAAACTATTTCAAACACTATCTCTACACCATATCATGTGCCCCATGTTTCCGCATTGTTGAACGAAAACTGTATGTCGCTATCGGGAACCTTTTAGAAGTCCTTTTTATGAGAGTGACCCATAGTTGGTAGGGCTCCCTGAATTCCTTCAACCCTAGACAACTTGAAGACGCGTAGTGTTTTGCCTTTCTATGGAAGCAGGGGATCTATTAAAAAGCTAAACGAAGAATGATGATACCAGTCAATATTTTTTATTTTCTCATTAATGCCAACGGGCTTTGTTCTCACACGAGAAATCCCATCCTACTTTTGAGTTTATCCTCCGATCCCTTTCGAGGACAGCTCTCTGAACATGGTATGCCCTTCTCACTGCTGGTAAATACGCAAGTGCGAGAAACGAACATTACAATTCCGTTTTCACTTTCCCATTTCAAGATTCAAGAGGGAGTCCACAAGTCCACTATAGCATTTCGAAGAGAGTGTCACGAGTGAAACGAATTCGTAGCGAGCATACCGGATGTCCATGTAGAATCAAGATTACAAAGAAAATATCATTTTCTCACAAGGTAAGTGCTAATAATATTTTTGAGTTATAATAAAATTGTGATTCATTTTAATTTTTAACTTTTACAGTAATTGCTCTAAAATATGATTTATCGTAATTTACATTTCTTTTACACCCCTTATTTAACTAAAACAAATGCATTTTTAATGCCTATCTTAGCAAAAATGAATGCATTAAGTAAAAGAAATTTAAGTAAAATGAATGCCTGAACTTCAGGATTCTACTTATCATACTTGGTAAGTAGATTCTACTGCAGCTACACGACGTTATAACGTATTTTGCAACTACTAGTGCAATTTTTCCTACATTGCCACAAGGTAGGTTTTGCTTCCTTATCTTTAAATAGGCCTTTCTTAACTCCATGTAATTAGCTCAATGTAAAACAGAGCTTTCCAAGTTTAATTCATTGATAGCATTTCTTAAGGAACAGTCGGTAGAATATTTGCCGACATAATCGAAAACAGAAGAGACGAAGTCAATCGTGATTATGCAATTAATATCACTATAAATATTTACGTTATTTTGTAAATGTACGTTATTTGTATTTAAGAATTAAAAGTAAATACATTCTTTTTGTAATTATATTGTACTTATCTATATGATGCAAGATTGATTTTTTTATCATTATAAAAAAGTTTTAAAGAAAGTTTTTTTCTCATTGTAATCACCAACTAATTTCAACACACTAATTTCAACTGCGTAGTTTGTGCTAGCCAGTTACTTATGAAATAAACCAGAAGAGTTGCTATGCAATTTCCAGGTTGATAAGTTAGTTTGAGATTTCATTACGATGTGTATCGTAAAGTTTCACTTTCCGGCCTGCTTTAAGGCACGGAAACAACAGAAATGCGACATTGTGAATATAAAATAATTTACCAGATAGTCTAAACAAGTCTAAAATATAGGGAAAAACAAAGTTGTTTTTTTCTGGAACATGACCTATTACATGCGTATTAGAGAAAACGAAATTACTGCACATACATTTTTCTGTGTTAAATAAAAAGGAAATCTCATAAAATCTTCAAAAAAACATTATACTTCAAACACCCAGGAGAAAACTTATGGAACAATCCTACCTTCCTCATATTTAATTTTGAACCCCTCCAATGCCACAGAAGAATCCGTTAAAAATATAATTGTCACAATGTGTCCAAGTGAAGTGTATGGCCTTGGCAACTGATTTCCGCAGTAGCGTCCAACCAAACGCGATGAAGGGCCGCGGCCTTCGTGAACCTGAAACGAAATGGTTAATATTATTTCCGTGGTGGTAGCACATATATTGTGGTAGTCTATAATGTGAGTTAGTAAAAAAATCAACTACAACAATCACAGTTATGAAATTTATTCACAACAGACCCAAAGTTAATTTTCAGGAAACACTTTTCCCTTCTTCAGTGGGTCTTTAACATGGAGAATGAAAAAATGAGAAAATAACATAATTCGATATAAAACTGACAAATAAAATGAAATTAATAATAAATAAATACAATAAAAAATTAATTACTGCCAAAGCAACGTGGGTCACACTTAAACATAACAGCACATACACAACAAAAGAAAGAAATGAGCACGGAACGGCTAGGAGGCCGATATCTTGTAGAATGGGAATAAGTGTTCGCCTCTAAGGCGAGAGCGGAGTTCGGGAACTGAAAGAGTTGAAGGGGCCAGTCAATAAAATATTTAAAATGGGACTGCTGACGTACTAGATATGGGAAACGTGTTTCCCAAAAGTTAACTTTGGGTATGTTGTAAAAAATATTACAACTGTGATTGTTATGGTTCTTTATATCCTAACTCACCTTTACTATTAAAACTTTTATGTTTACTTTTTAAATTTAATTCACACTGAACCATCATGATAAAATTCAATGTTAATTTAGATTCTCTAATTACGTAATTAACAATGTAAATTACGATTCTCTATGTTGCGTAACCATTCCTTCCCATTAACCTTTTAACGGTCGTTGGAAAGTAAGCCTCTGACTTGAAATTGAATTTTATCAACATACACATAAAGAAAGAGGTTAATATAATTAAAACTAGTAAGATGAACGACTGTTTCACTAGTTTTAGCAATATTAATTTTGTCCTTCAAATGAGTTAAAAATTTCATTTTTATTAATACTCATCATCTTTGGGATGTACTTTAAGTGGCTTTAGCAAACATTTTAATACAAATCTAGAATAATGGACACTGTTGAAGCTTTCTCAAAACTAGCTCAGTGGGTGCCCAGGCTGTTGCTGCTAAATTCGTTTTTATCTACAGACAATTAAATGCTATATAAAAAGCTGATCGATCATCTACGCCTATTGGTATACAACTCAAACAAAACTACAAAATTGTTTATTGTTATTCGTTTCATAAGTTTGTTTCTTTAATTGAATTTTATTTTTTCAAAATTGTTCAATTATGTGAAAAAGTTTATAAATAAAATATACTTTAAATCAACTTTGTAATTAATACAAGTCTTTTTATCTGGGTAATTGTTATTTTACAAATGTTTAGAATTCAAATGTTTCTAAATATTACAAATAAATCATTGATTTTTAAATTTTAAAAAATATATTTACATCAATTTAAATCATTGATTTTTTAAAAATAATTTGATTTTAATCATGATTTAATTCAATGATTAAAATGACATGATTTAAATCATACCAACCTTAGGCAAAAACAAAAGTGATTGCCATATATTGCATATTATTTTATGTGCAGTGACATTCTTTAATATTAAAGACAATCAAATATGTACTATTTTAACAATTATGCTATCGAACACCCGAGATCATCAGGTGTTTTGTAATAAAGAGCCCCCGATGTCGCGAAACGTTGTGTCTAGTATATTAATGCCAATAAAATAATTGTTGAAATAATACTGATTTGATTGTCGTTAATATCAGATGATGTCACTGCAGATCAAAATACCAGAAAGAAATTATTAATTAATTAAGACATTTAGCTATATTTTTTAATACTGTACATTACAGAAAACAAGTATCTTACTTCAACACGGTCAAATATGCAGCTACGGTGGTTTTCAAGATTAAGTTTCAGAAACTCAATTTTTATTCTCTCTCCTTCAGGAAGTTGAATAACCCATTCACAAGTTGCTCGGTGTAGGTATTTGTTTGAATCAGGATCCAGAGGAGGAACAATCAATCCAGAACCAGATGTGAGAACACCTCCACAATCTGTGCCTACACATTTCGGAAACATGAACATATTAAAAAACAAAGAAGACATTCCATTACAGATACATTCCTTAATAAAAGCATGATCTGACATTATATTGTGTCGCATTACCTTTTATTCAGCGAACTGGAATTACTGCGCGGAATGACAAACGTCATTTGTAATGGATTAGAATTGTGTGCGAGTGTTCAGAGACACCCAAAATTAAAAACCAAAATTACACAACGGCAAAGGAACTGCAGGTTTAATTTTTTTGCATTGCTAACAAAATAGGAACTCGCTCTTGCCTCTATTTCTACCACTACAAGCAAAAGGAGAGTTCAAGAAAACGTTCGCATATTGAAGCTGCATTTACTTCCAGAAGCAAAACAAGGGGCCATCTCAGCATTTGCTGTATGCATCAAGGAAACTGGACAAAAACTTGATCGCAATGGGGTGATTGACCGGGAAGCTGTAGTTCATTATTTATTACAAGCATATTAAGTTTAAAAAAAATATACAATACAAATATAAAATAATTTATTAAACATAATTGTTTTGATAAAAGAAACATTATTTTTTCTTTTTGATGATCAGTATAGTCTCTAATTGTATAGAAACAATTATGCAATAGTTTTCTTTTCATTTGAGCACGCTTCGGAAATGTGCATTAGAAGCAGATATGAGTAAACGGGGACCACACTGCTGGTGGAACGTTTCTAAGGCTAGTAGGAGTGTATTGTTTCGGGTTCCACGGGATCCGTTGTAAATTTTGATTTACAAGAAAAGATATAACTTAACTTAACCTCGTTATATAATTCGTACGTCAGTTGGCGTTTTGCTAAGCATTTCCGATTTGGCAACGAGACTCCTGCTTTCTGCCCTCACGATTTACATAAAATAACCTTCAGTCAGAGCAAAGCATAATTTCATACTCATTTCATACAAAAATACTTTTCTTACACTCGTATTTTAGCCAGGGCTCTGTGGATAATGCCAAAATTATAATGGTGAAGACCGAAAATATCCGTTTATAGTCATTCCTACATAATCTGGATAACGTACGAATCAATCACCTAATCCTACGCCATTTTGCGACTTTAGTCGCCACACATACACACTACGTATTCCTATTTCATTCTTAATTGTACTTCACTATCTGGTTGATTGACTAGTGATTCCGTGTGCGTGAAGTGCAAAGGTCCCGTAAGTGTAGTGCTTGCTTTTTACCGCGGGAGGTGGCGGTCATCTTCCCCGCTGGATGGAGAGATCCGGCTCCCGTCTAGGCCGGCTTACAGCGATTTTCTTCAATCGGGTATCTCCCACCACGGTGGCACCACACCCGGGCCGGGAAAACCTCTAATCTCCAGACTAATCTACCGAGAAGTGAGGTAGAAGTACATGTGAATGTGAGTAAAAGTATGGAGTGAGGATAGGACAAGGAATGGGAAGGAAAGATCGCGCGCGGTCCCTGGCCCGTTTATTAGGGTACTGTTCTGGCGTTCACATTGATAGGAGGAACCACTGAAAACTACCGATCAGAGCAGCCGGCCGCTAGAATTCTCCTCCAGACAGCGGCTGAACTCGACCGGGCTGTCTAGATAGCAGCGAACATCCTGCCACCATCCGGGCTCGAACCTTAGGATTTCCTGGTCAGAGGCACCGCACTTCACAATCTGAGAATTACTGGAATATTACACAAAAACACTTACTTGGAGCTGTAGAATAAGAAATTTGGAAGCCCGTATCTCTTCCTTCACCATCTGAATGAAAACGAATGACAGCTCTGCGACTTGGAGTCGTTAGAGGTTCCGGAAGGGATGTATTACAGAACTTCTTTACCATTCTATTATCATATCCATCTCGAATCTGAAAAGACACATTTTCATTTCAAAAGACACATTTCAAGAATAGTATATAATAGTGATGAAATATTTTAATTATTTATTTATTGTTTGCAAAATAACGATAACATTGTAAAAAAAACATTCAGTTTTGAATTATTTTACCTCAACAAAATCAAAGCTGCAATTGGAGTGACTTTCAATGTTCATGGTGTAGAAATGGAGAACTATTCTTTTTCTGTTAGGAGCCGTTAAGCGCCATTCACAGTCTCTGTTGGTGGGGTATTTGCCTGGATACCCCGGAGAACTTAAGGATCCATGGCTTTGGAACACAATATCACCACCACAAACTGCAAAAAGTATGATTAATAATCAACAGTGTTTAAGAACTTTAATTGTCTCTGAAAGACTAAAAAATTAAATACAATAGAACCGTGCTAATCCGAACCGCGCAAACTCGAAATTTTGGATAACCCGAACAAAATTCGGAATAGAGGAAAAATAAACAAAACATGCCTGATTTTTAATTTACTTTATGAACGGCAATGCATGAAGCAGTGTAAGTCAACCCAATGTACGTACTGAATACTATACGTAGAATTACCATTAACAGCAGGGACGAAAACAGTCCTTCAGCTCTTCTAAACAATGTAGCGAGTACTATTGCATACGATCGATTATACAATACGTACGTATATTTGTATACGTACTGTACTCAGTTTTTCGCAATATTGCTACTTCATGTCGCTAAGCTACTTTGCCATTTTTTCATACTGGCTATGATACATTTTCTAGTAATCCTATAGATATATTTATGTATGTACAGTATGCAAGTTCGTTTTTTCGGATAATCCGAACATTTACGAATCCGAACAGACCACACCCCCAATTAGTTCGGAATACCGGGGTTCTACTGTAATAATAATAATAATAATAATAATAATAATAAACAAAAAAATTTACTGGGTGTAATTGATGTCCATGTTAATTCAAAACCATCCCTTTGGTTTGAACGGTCTGAACGGAACCATAAATATAATACATTGTGTGTACTTATAATGGCATTAGGAATTCTTGATCCACAATATCGTCCTATTAATTGATAGGCTGAAGAATGACCATCATGTATCTGAAATTAAAAATTATAATTTATAAAGTAATGGCAATATTATTATATAAAATAATTAAATTAAAATTAAATTAAAATATTTCCAACAGTAAACAAAACAATTTGCGTGACAGAGTATTCAATGCGTCATAACTTTCCTGAAAATTAATTAGGTCTAAAATCAATGCAGAGGTTTGATAACTAGCTAAAAAGCTTAATTATTTCCTTTGTGTTTCCATTTCCACATTAAGTTGAGAAGTGACACCACAAAAATATGTATTTTTGTATTTTCCTGCTTGAAATAATGTTTTCTGCGCGGTAGAGATTGATGGTTGCTTTAATGATACTGACAACTCGTGGCAAAAATATCAAAGTCATGGAAAATATAATAATTTCGTTTATGAAATATATAATTACTTTAACGATCTTATAACAGTGCTTATATTACCCATTATCAGCCATTTTTTGTTTCATTTCTAATTCCCAAGGTTTCACGGAAACAGTTACATATTCACAATTGAATGGAAGCGACCACAAAAGAGAGGACGGGATTGAGTGTAAAAGAGACACACAGCTAAGAAGATAATAAGTGTTATCAAGTGAAAACTGACTGGGAAAGAAATATTTTTTTTAACATTTCATGAACAGAAAATTTTCCGGGAAATTGTTAAATGTTCATATAATTTGAACTCACCTGAAGCCAATCGAAACTGCATTCTGGAGATTCTTCAAGATTGAAACTTTTAAATGTTACATTTAAAACTTGAGTACTATTTGTAACTATAAGCCATCCACAGCTCACTTGAGAAGGATAATTTATTCCCTCATTCGAAGGGGGAAATTTTAGAGTGCCAGATGGAGACCGAAGACGTCCTCCACAACCTGAACAAAACATATTCATTAATTTACCATAATTGTGTTACAACTATGTGGGCTAATTGTCTTTGAGTTTACAAGCTAAATTTTTTTGATGTTATTGTACTGTTAACATTATAAACCTTTTTCATCCCTTACAAGTAAGATCTCGAGTCTTCTTATAGAAGTTTTTCTTCTTATAGAATACTCTTATAAACATTGGCAATTTTATTCACAAATGTTTAAAATGTGATACTTTGCTTGTAAGAAGAGTATCTGACATCATATGTACTCCATATTTATCTATTCCTTCCTTTAAGCCATTTGTACATCCATTTCTGTTCAATAGCAAAACCAAAATTTTCCCTCGCCAGGAAGGTGATATAAATCCAGCCGATTTGATATTTTTTTAAAAGAATTTTGAATTAAAGCTGAATTTAATATCATTATTTTTTAATTTATTGTTATTTATTACGTATTCAATAAGTATCGCTGACCACCAAACATTTCAATTCAACAGTTTTCAAAACTGTTTAATGTAATGCATTCAGTACGATATCCTGTAACAGTATCATTCTGAAATTCATGATATATTTAACTTGACGACAATACTTAACATGATTACTTTGAAGTGATCTACAAACATCCCGAGAATGTTATTAACCGCGTCCGGAATGTATTAGAAGAGAATGAAGGATGCGTTAATTGTTGCAGGTATATTGTAAGAACCGGGAATCATGGGCAAGCAGACACTGGAACATCGCTGGAACAGAGAAATTTGGTCAAGAAAATTGGCTCCATGCGGACCGCAGTGGGCGCCCATCCCCTGTTACAGACGATCTTTGGAACAAGTGCAATAGCGCATTGTGGAGAACCCTTGTTTTTCTATTACGAAGCCCACAGCCATTTCTCGAAGTTCTACCGTTTCTCATTTCACGAAAATTAACATCTATTCTTTGAGTAAGCGTGTGCGAAGTGGCCGAAGCAACTGGCACCCGAAAACATACAGCGCAGGGGGATCATCTTTGTACAACGATGATGGCAGACAATGCAGTGACGTCATAGCAGATCTACCAGCAAGATCAAATTCAAACGACTTTGTCGATGCGGAAATAAATGTTGTCGATGCGGTTGTCCATGGTCTAACGGATAGAAAGGGCATTCTGCTCATCGCGTTCCTGGCCAGAGATTAGACGGAGAATGCTGCTGCGTTGCGTTTCTGTGCAACACTGCAGAATTTGCAAAGGGCCGTTCAGAACAAGTGACGTGGGACGCTGAGGGCAGAGGTCTCTTCCTACACGTTAATGTCGAACACACACGGCTGCTCAAAACAGGCCTTCTGCACCACTTCCGCTGGGAGATATTTGTCTATCCAACGTATAGTCCGGATCTCTCTTGCCCACAGCTATTTCTATATTTTCTTATATCTCAAGAAATTTCTGTTTGGTTCAGAATTAGGAGTATCACAGTGAAGCAGAGTTGTAGGTGACTGTCTAACTCTGGTACCTACCTCATGCAATCATTTCGCCCTGAGGAAGGTCGCAGTATTGCTGCCGAAATTTGGCAACAGTATTCAGCGTCTCCTGAACAACGAAGTAACTTAGGACTTCGGCCGCGAAAGCCTACGTTTTCATTATGTATAATTTTTAACGTCTCGTATAACTTAAAAGACAGGCTTGGTGGAAGAAAAATAATAAAAGTCAAAAGAATTACCGCAGATGAAAATCGTATCAGTCATAGACACTACAGTTTACGACTACAGATGCAGTCGTTAAACTTATGAAATAGTTATCATCAGATCCAGTAGGGATTAAAACTTTTGGTATAAGAGACTCACAAATATTCATGAAAAATTGACTACTTATAAATGATGTTTTAGTTGAACAAGCAAATTTTCCTAGTTCCCTCTCTCATGATATCACTTTTTTTTGTCTAAAGATGCACCTACAACCGATGCCTGTCTGCGATATTCAAAATGTTAACATCATATGCCGCCATCAGTATCTAGAAATCTGCTTTATTTCCCTTTTATTTCTTTTCTAACTGAAAAACGTAAGAATCGGGAAATAAATCTATTCCGTATAGATTGAACCATCACTTGAGGATTAAGGCTACAACAGCTAACAGGCAAGTTAGGAAGAAAATCTGCACATGATATTATTTAACGGTGGAAGCATAAGTGGAGCCAATGGGGACCCTACCCTTGACCTGATATAACAAAAACAATCCGTTCACCTACTGATGGCTGATCTGTTTACATTTATTAAAAAGGCACCAAATATCAAGAGTGCCTTATCTGCTGAGAATCCATTTGACTTTTGCCTCGATAAAGGCTCTCGGTTGTATTCGCATGCCTCAGTTCTAAAATGTTTTTTACTCTGCCATTTACTCTACATATACATTTAATTTTCTTCTTAGTTAATACAATCTGATATTAAAATTCAAAAATAAATATAATTTATAAATATCAAGAATTGATTAGTAAAAGCAAAGTTTAATATTTAAAATAAAATTAACATAAAGTACAGGAAGTTGTCTTTTGTATGTATTAAATACTATGTGTGGCTTCTCTTTCATAAACAATTTGAAATTTTATTTTAAAACATATAACTGATTTTTACATATCAGTTAGTCAATTACTGTATATGATGACTAACTGATATGTAAAAATCAGTTATATTTAAAATAAAATTTTAAGTTGTCATTAAAGTATGGACACGTACATCAAACGGTGTTAAGATAAAATTGTAAATATATTGCTTAGAAAATAATTTATGTTCATACTCATTTGTTGTTGTTCACAATGCATCCCAGTTGTAAATGGAGAACATCTACAATAATATCCATTTCCTTGTGGCACACATGTTCCACTGTTCTGACAAGGATTACTGTCACAAGGGTTTACGGCATTACCGCAAGTTGCACCTTTGAAAAAATAAAAGTATGCACAGTCTGATGTTGAAACATGGTTTGTTTGGTTAAGCAGGAAAAGAAAAACAAAATTCTTATGAATATAACGCACGAAAATTCATAAGTTTTCCTGAGTTTAGAGCATAAAACTTTATTAAATACCAGTGCAAAATCAATGTGTACAGTTTTCTTGAGAATGAAAAATTGCTGATATTTAAAAAATTTACTAATTATTGCAACTGTGAATTGAAACATATAGTATTTACCCGAATATAAAACAAGATATATTTCCACGTTTTCGACCTTTAAGATCGACTTTTCGACTTATTCCCATGCGTGAAAAAAAGTCCGTATTTGTGTAATTTAAGAATTTGCACGTCTCTGAAGGGAAACCCCCAGAAAATATATCATAAGTTTTCAAAAGATCCAATTAGGTCAATTTTGACATGAGGAACATAATATGAGACCTTCGTCTAAAGTCAAATTTGAAAATCCTCGGACACACCGTTCTTGAGATATTCACAATCGATGTATAAGAAATCAATTGTTAAGCAGATAGAGTGTTGGGTAAAATGAATGTGCAATTCGCAACTTCTCAATAACATTTTTAAAATCTAATTGTTTAGGTTGTTGGAGGTGTTACTCTCAAAAGTGATTCACACGACATAAATAATAATAATAATAATAATAATAATAATAATAATAATAATAATAATTAAACAAAGACGAAATATCGACAAATTGACAAAGTTTAATTCATAAAGAGTTTATAAATAATACTGACATGTACATAATAAATGAATAATATACACTTCCTGCCAAAAAAGTGATGCACCCAGAAGGAGTGGTTGGAAGTAAATGAAACTACTTACGCTGAAAGAACATGGGACTTTATTGAACTGATTGTAATATGGGATGAAAGAGAATAGGTTGTTGTCAGCGCGAAGTCATGTGGATGACTGGATGCCGCACCTCCTCTAGTAGGAATACATGCCCTCATACGGTTCGGAATGATGTCATTGGTGCTTTTGGATTCTCTCTTGAGGCAAGTTCTGCCACAATTGTTGTGGCTGTTCCTACACATCCTGTAGGTTGGTACTACGAGGGAGTCTCCTAATGGCATCCTAAACGTGTTCTATGTTGGAGAGGTCCGGAGTCCGCTGTCCGCGGGAGGACCTGAAGATGCTCTAGACAGTTCATAGACACATGTGCTACGTTTAGGCGTGCATTAATTGTTGGAATACCGTCCCATGGTACTGTGCCATAAGGGGTAGGACGTGTGGACGCAGAATGTCTATGACGTATCGCTTTGCCGTCAAAGTCCGCCGAAGCACTATTAGATGACTACGATTTTAACGCATATTTGATGGTTCCCCCCACCATGAAGCCCGGGGTTATGCCTGTAAGTCTCTCCGCATTTTGGGCAGGATGCGCTCTCAGCCCTTCACGCCGCCACACTCGAACACCATGGTCATAGGAGGTTATGGCGAAAAGGGACTCGTCACCGAACATGATGTGACGCCATTCGTCCGCAGATACGTGTGAATCTAAGGATTTACTCACATATCAACGGTATGCATGTATTCCAAAATGGGAAAATATTGGACCACTCCTTCTGGGTGCATAACTTTTTTTTTGTCGGGCAGTGTATATGTAATTTGTTATTTAAATTGTTGAAAACTTAATTCATAAAACCAAGAGTTGGCCTTAAGTCCCAGTCACCTTATATTCGGGTAAATACGTATCTATTACTATGAATCACCAAAGGTCAGCGACGACCATTAAACTTTTCTTGTCTCTGCGAGAAACTGTCTCTGGAAAACGTCTTGCATATCAAAAACAATATTCCAATGAAAGCAATTTAATTTGCAAGACCTACACAGCAAGAAATCATTACCTGTGTATCCTGAGTAACAACGACAGATAAAAGACGTTCCTGCAACTATACATGTACCGTGTATACATGGATTTGGTTGACAAATATTTGATCCTCCAGATATTGGGGCAACAGCAGTTGGAATACAGCCGGAGGGTCCAATTCCAGATCCAGCATAACCAGATGGACAAATGCACTGCACATATGACTGACTAATTGCTGTAACACATAAGTCACGTAAGAGCAGTTACGTAAAATATGAAATAATGACATTAATTGTAGTGACCAAAGCATGCAACATGAGAGTAAAGGTAAATAGTTAACAGCAGTTCCATTATAATTCCATGTAAAATCTTCATATTTTTGGCAAACAAAAATGATTTACCAGAATATATATTAAAAAGGCAACCACACCTGAGTTTTCTAAGCACTGTGCTAAGGGATGGCAGCCACCATTATTGATCCTACAAGCGCCAAGGTAAGTACATGTCACTCCGTCACCTTGATAGCCTGGAGGGCATGCTCCACAAACTCGAGAACCCTAAAAATACAACAAAAAATGTAAATATACCAATACATAAAGAGCAAATATTTAAGCCATTTGGGGCGTGGCGACGCGCAGTGGCAGGGGCAGTGGCGGGGTGGATTCCTCTGGTCATTCACCCCCGCTTCCGTCGCTTTTATAAACAGGCACCTGCAGTATCCGCACTCACCAGTGTATAACCTTCCGCCGCTCCTCCACGGTGCCACCAGATCGCAGCACCACGCCGACACTCCCGCCACGCTACCTCGGACTCTTTTGTTTTACTAAGGCTTTTATCCTCGCTTTCCACGGCGCTAACCCTAGGTTCGATTCCCGGCTGAGGCAAATTATAACTGTGCGCTTTCCTTACAAATGTCACAGTATCTATTGCTGTGTGACGATGAGAAAGCTTACCCTAAGGTTATGAAGACCAGAATGTACGGTGAAGGGATGTCTTCGTGTTAACCACACGAACTCCTTATCCCATGGCCGAGAGGCTGTCACTACTGGTCACCGAAGGCCCATAGCGGGCTGTTTAGCCAAGAACAGGAAAGGGCTTTTATCCATTTGACAGCCGGTTAAATTTAACGTTCCTAAGGGACGCATATTCGACCATATACTAGACACCAACCCACTTGCGGGCTCTTCGGATCTGAGTCAGCAGAACGCGAGGCCCTCCGCGACAACACATACTTGAGAGACAAGGGACAGACATCTATGCACAAGGTGGAACTCGAACCCGCGACCATGGCACCGAAGCGCTAAGTCGCCACGCTGAGTCGGTACACCTCGGCCATCCAGGTTGGTTGTCGGAACAGTAAGTACAATAAATGTCTAGTCTATCTACGGTATCTGAATCGAGTCTCTCTATCCTGTCGAGTTGTTGTTTGATTTTCCTTTTCCAGACAACTGGAGACACATTTAATAATTTAGACAATTTATGAGAATAAAATTCTGTATCACATTTCCTAAAGATCTTTTCTCCCCTCTTCGTAAAGGAAATACTACTCGTTTACACACAACAAATCTAAAAATATTTCTTTTTTCAGATTATTTTGAGTATAACGCAAATGCCAATAAAATTTATTAATAATTAATAATTAAAGAAAGCGAGACATGCAGTGGAAATAAATGAATCGTATTATTCTGCAGGGATGAACTGAGTGGCGACTGCACGCAACGCCCGGCAGCAAAATTGTAGAGACAATTTTATTCTTTTAAATTTTATGAGCATGAATCTCGAAAAGTACTATTGGGATGTATAATTTTTACAGAATTATCATCAGTGCCATGCAAAGCATGTAACCAACAAAACTATATTCAAAAGTCGAATAAATCTATTAAAAAGTTGTATTATTTCATAATACAAAAATTATTATTTACAAAAATTGTATAAAAAGGAATTCATAATTTCACAATATTTTCTGTTCATAAACAAACCATTGTACATTATTTTCTGAGATGGTTCTAAAAAAACAATTCTCTGTGTTAAATAGTTCTTGAGATTTGTTTTCACCGATTATTTTAACATGCTAAAGAAAAGAGCTTTTAACAAACTAATGATTCTCGCCTTAAGAGAAAATAATTTTAAAAAACATGACATGTTTTTTTAAACATTGTCTTACCTGCGTGTTGATGCATTGAACAGAAGGATTCATGCTACACCCACCATTATTTATTTGGCACTCGTCTATATCTACACAGTAAAATCCATTACCAGTGTATCCTAAAAGTTTTCAATACAAAATTAATATCCTAATATATATTCCAATTTCTATAAGCATTTACTGCAACTGTATCTTGACTGAATTTATCAGCTATTTGAAGTTTTTTATTACCTTGAGGACATGGACCACAGTGGAACGTTCCAGGTAAATTTATGCAAGACACTGGAGGATTCTTAGAACATGCGGGTCTTCCAGAAGTACATTCATCTACATCTTGTGTGCATGCTTTTGAATTTGGAGATTTTGTCCATCCCTAGAAAGAGGAAAGGGAGAAATTAAAATATTACTTGAATTAGTTGTGTATAGATTGTTTTTATTTTTATCAGAGTATTTAATCCTTTTTTGGATGTGTCTCTTCCCCACCACCGTAACCTGGTTGTGAAGCTAGAATTTTTATGTGGCATTCTCTCCCGTACACCCCGGACTAAGAGAAGATCATTCCAAGCTAGAGTGTGCGAGGGAAGATGATAGAGGAAAGAGGTACCGGTTGCAACTTCGGGTGCTGGAATGTTTTGTGTAACTCTTGAAGACACTATTTAAAATTGGTTCTATCAACCACACTTAAACATTTTTCTATTCTACTTTGTCAAGTGTTTGAAATAAGCAAATTCAATCAAAACCTGTTTTGAAACAGACCATTTAACCTAATGCAACTTCATATTATTGTTTTTGAAAACCATACCTGGTCACAGAGACATGTGTAACCATCACTAACACCTTCTTGATTGATGCAAATACCATGGCCACAAAGTTCTTGCGGGTTGTTTTTGGAACACCCCTTATCCTTTCTTGTGCAGTGAAGTCCGACAAATCCGGGTGCACATTGACACCTATAGATATAACAAAACATTTCAAATTGGTTTCCTGACCTTGAATATAAATATTGAAATCGAAAAGTTTTATATATCTGTATCCATCATCATTATCATCATCATCATCATCATCGGTGAATCGGCCTTGGCATATAAGCAATTAACATTGAATAAGAGCACTTAAAAATGTCCCCTTAATTCTCCTGGAACTAAAGAACTTCAAAAACATTAATTACAACAAATACTCAGATTTCATCTAAACTTTAGGATTTGTTTTCTTCGCCTCTTTGTAGAGTAGAGCTGACAACTCATTTCTTACTTAAGAAACTTGTTTTCAGTTCAGTTGAAAATTGAACTCTAAAAATTCAGTACTTTTAACATCGCTAAAAAAGACATAACAAAAATTGTTTATATGTATTACAGATTCTGAAGTGAGATTACTATGTGCGGTTTAAGTGCGAACTAAAACTTTATGAAGTTAAAAAAATATACATTTTCTGTTAAAAAAAAGGATTCATAATTTTAAAATTTAGAATAACCAAGTATGCCAAAAATTAGCGAATGAAAATATACGTGCTCGTGGGGGTAAGAATTACTTCTTTTTTTCTTTGCATCTCGAGGAATTTCTTAACATCTCGAAGAACAAGAAATAATTTGCCTCCCTCTTTGTAGCAATTGATATTTTTTACATTGAAATTGATTATTGTCATTGAAAATACACATAATGTTGATAAACATTACACAGTGAAAAATGAACAATGTGAAATCGTATACATACTCGTAAGTGCCAATTCTATTTATGCATGTGGCCCCATTCTGACATCCAAGATCAGTGCCAGCAAACTGAGCACACTCATTTACATCCACATCACATAACGTTCCCTAAAAATAAATATGCAAATGAAAGTTAAATAAAAATCCAGAACCAGTGCACCATATTTATTAAGATGAATTAATTTACCTCCCAATTAGGAGGACATCGACAGAGAAAACCGTTATATTGGTCCTCACAGGTACCTCCATTTCGACAAGGATTACTTGAACATTCATTTGTTGATAAGGTGGTTCTGATTTTGCTGATCACTTGAGTAAGTCTCACTACCTGTAGTATAAGAAAGATGTGTACATTTAATTGTGTTACAATATGATGTACAGTAAAATCTGTCTAAGCCGGAATAGATCGGGACAAAAAAATGCGATTTAGGGAAGTTTCCGTGTTATGCAAGGTTGTCTATTTTATGACACTTGTAATCTTGATATTTCCGTCCTGAAACGATTAAATTACTTGACTTAATTATAATAAACATTAACATATAACAGATTTATGGCTATTTATTGGTGGATGGAAATCACCAATAAATGAATATTTCATATAACATTCTTCATTGACAGATTCTGAGTTTGACATTTTCTTCTAAGGTTAAAGTTTTATGTTTTTTTTCAACCATTGTTAAACAGGTACTGAAACTAAAAAAAATGCAAACTACCTAATGGCCTAGTTGCTGCAGTCGGACTGCTTGCTGAATCTTTCAACGCAAAATGAGTCACAGCTCAGAGTACTATGACTTTCTGATACCCTTGCATGACCTTCAGCAGTCTCTCTCTCTCGCTCTCTCTCTCTCGCTCTCTCTCTCTCGCTCTCTCTCTCTCGCTCTCTCTCTCTCGCTCTCTCTCGCTCTCTCTCGCTCTCTCTCGCTCTCTCTCTCGCTCTCGCTCTCGCTCTCTCTCTCTCTCGCTCTCTCTCTCTCGCTCTCTCTCTCGCTCTCGCTCTCTCTCGCTCTCTCTCGCTCTCTCTCCCCTCTCTCTCCCTCCGTCTCTCTCCCTCCCTCTATCTCTCTCCCTCCCTCTCTCCCTCCCTACTTCCCTCTCTCGCCGAGGGGTTATGATTTTTAACCCTTCGGAGATGCGAGAATAGAAGTCTTGTCCGTACACTCTTCCACGCTCAGAAAGTCGGTAGGGAGAGAATTACTGTATGGCCAGCGCCATGAGAGACACGCGACCCCAAGATCGAATTCTACGCTGACGGCCGAAACCCTCTTCACTGTGCGGCAGCCATGTCCAAATCGCGTGGCACTGGGATAGAGAATTTAAAACAGACTTGCCGATGCATTTTTATTAAGAATATTTAGCGTCTCGCTGCCAATTCACAGAAATTCCGCTTTATAAAGGATTTGTTCCCCTGTAGGGCATTAAAAACAGTTCCGTTTCTGCGTTGGACAGATAACGTTTTATGCTTTGTAAAATGCCATTTAACTTCTCGGGCCGGAGAAAATTTCCGGTTATGGCAGGTTTCCGGCTTGTACAGGTTCCAGCTTAGACAAATTTTATTGTAATATATATTTTAACGAAATAACAAAAAAATAGTAAACTACTGTTCACAAAAGGACGTCTTACCTTTGCGTTTAATGTCTTTATTTTTGCACCTATATTTCCTGGCTGAAAATAAAACATACTACGTTACTTTTACAAAATTTCAATTAATCAGAAATAATTTACAGTGTAAACTTCTTTACGAAATTCTGTGTAACGAAATATTTACTAAAACGTAAACCTTAAGCATAACCTGAATTTGGTTAGAATAAAAAAAAATATTTACTTAGTTGTGAGAGCGTAGGCTTCTGCGGCCGGAGTCAGTATTTACTAGGCTGTCCGCATGACGCCGCGTCCGTGGCAAAGGTGCCGACGTTTCGGTCGCCATTCTGCGACCTTCCTCAGGGCGTAATGCGACAGGCATTACGCCCTGAGGAAGGTTGCAGAATGGCGACCGAAACGTCGGCACCTTCGCCATGGACGCGGCGTCACCCGGACAGCCTAGTAAATAAATATATAATACTTTCTTATAGAAAAATCTCCGCTACAAAAGAGTGTTCTCGCAATTCTTCGTTATAAAGTTTACTTTGTATTAGACGTTAAATCAGTTTACCAAATCTGCTCCAGATGTTCCGTTTGAAATTGTCTGTTCTAGTTGAGAAACTCTGTTTTCCACTCCCAAACTTCCTAAAACTGTAGTTTCCAGAAGTCTCAAACGACTTTCAAAATCTGACAGTACACCTGCATGTAAAGAATTGATCGTGTTTGCAGCGGCAGTGACCTGAAAAACATTACGTTGAAGAAATGTAAAACCCAATGAGCTTCATCACAGCTAAGTCTGCTAAAACAAGGTATATATAAGGTATATAAGTAAAAGCGAAAACCAAATAATATCAAATGATACGTCTCTGTGCAAGAGGTCCTTACAGTTTGTGCCAGTTCTAGCAAGTTTGCTTGGTTCAAAAAAACTTGGCCACCATTTGATTCAAAGTGAATGTTTTTTCCCACAGCAGATTGAAAAACCATCGAACCATCTCTCAAAATAATTTGAGGTCTCCTGGAAAAATAATTTTAATGTCAGACACCAAATGGTTTTAACTAATAATATTTTTAAATTCTCACAATAAAAGAAAAAAGTAAATAAAAAGTTGGACTTACTGATTCGCTTCGTCTATCAAATCTGGATTTACAACGGTTATAAAAAGGGAGATAATATAAAAAGAGATAGTATACTCCAACAGCAGGGAGTTGCCTTTCATTTTGAGAGACTTTTTTAGGATTATGTATATTTATGGCATTACTAATATAACCTGAAAAATAAGTAATTACGTATTGGTTAAATTTAAATTATACAGTTAATTGTGAAAATAACTGTAAAAGAATACATTTACATTCAGAAGAATTGGTTCGACGTTCTACCCGTTTCTTTTTCAGTTTGAAGTTCCTATTGAAGAAAATCTCTTTTATCTTATAAAAAGACTACAAAAACCAGCCTAATAATCCAGAAAATGCTCTGTGGTCAATATTTCAACATTGTGCGTTTGCAAGAAAAAATTAATAAGTCCGTAACTCATACAAACTAATTTTAAGTTTGATTGATTGAGAAAATTTAATTTTCAATAGAAATACTTCTGATTATAATAATAATAATAATAATAATAATAATAATAATATATTATTATTATTATTATATTATTATATTATTATATTATTATATTATTATATTATTACATTATTACATTATTATATTATTATATTATTATATTATTATATTATTATATTATTATTATCATTCATAATAATATTCAATCCTCACCCATTTTTTACACGCACGTTATACATTACACATGTTGCGTGTGCTGTTGGAGGCTTGGGGTGATGCCCCGCTGGTGGGAGATACCTGGTTAGGGAAAACCCCAAGACAATCTGACTGGTAGGTCGGCGCTGGATCTCACCATTCAACTGAGGAAGATCGCTGCCACCTCCAGCGATAAAAAAAAACACTACGCTTATTCCGAATAACTCATAATGTATACTGAATTTTTTCACAGATATTAAAATTATAATTGTTCAAATTACTAGGACGCTTCGTTGCTACGATATTTCCATGATGAGAACAAGTGTAACTTACGTTTCTCATGCATTTTTAGCATTCTAAAATAGAATCAAAAACTTAATTCGTTTAAATCGCTGTATTCGTTGCCGCTCATAATCGCCTGTATTTACTATCACTTGATTAAAATGCTAACACAATATATTCGATTACGCCTCATATTGTATAAAAAAGCATGCGTTTTCTCATAAGTAGTTCCAGGTTTGAGATTCATTGCCGTACAATTTTAAGATTGTTTTGGAGTGACCCGAAAATAGTTTTCTTTAACAGATTTCCTTCGAAATTCCCCGACATGTCAGTAAATAATGAGTTACCGACGCATAAACCCCAAATAAAGTAGGCTTTGCAATATAATTTTAAGAGAAACGCATTGAAATTGATAAATACATAATTTTGATTATGAAATTTTATAATAATGTTATCCTATAGTCTTCAAGGACACGGCCGGTTAACTACCCGGCTTCACTACTGTTGCGTCTAGTAGAAAACCAGACCTTGCTCTTAAAAACTCGATGTACAAATAACTAGTCTAAATAGTACCTGTTGCCTCTTCTCAATTTTTGAGGAACCACTGCTTAGGTGGTTGGGCCTTACTCTTCTCATCCTTTGGATCTGTTCCGACTCTTCCTCCTATCGGCTGCGACTGGCTAATCTCCAGGCACGGCCACCTCGGCACTTGTCACGATTCCCCCCGTTCTGGTCCCGAAGTGGTCCACGAGCCACTGGCGGTGTCCGGCCATTTTCGCTGCGTACTACTGAAGGTTCATTTACACGGCACAAACGAATGTTTGCAAACGAACAACTCTTCGTTCGCTCGGCCGGTCGAAACTGAACACCCGAGGGAACAATGTCGTTTGGAGGAGATCGGCTAGCGGCAGCGAGCGAACGACCGCTCGGTATGTTCGTTCCGCCGAGCAAACACAATTTCGCTGTCAAACATTATTTCAATCCGCGAACACGTCGGTGAATAGGGCAAATTTCAACAGGAGATAGTGAGCATACAGACGAAGTGGGAAGTTTGTACTTTGCATAGGGGGTATAAAACGTTTAAATGATAAGTTTAAAAGCTGAGATAGTGAACATACACACATTAATTTATTTTAATCAGGGCTGGACCCAGCGACAATTTTTTTGGGAGGGGACGGGGAAGTCAAAATGTTTTGTTCGAAAGTTATATTACAGTATATAAAATTACGCAGGCTAAACTCAGCTCTTGCTGTGATACGATTTAATTTGTTTTAATAGTTACGGAATTTATGAGGGAGGGGAGATGCGGGATTTCCCTCCCCGTGTATCCGCGCCTGTTTTAATGTACATTTAAAAAAAATCAGTATTACATCATTAGTGTTGAGGACGCCATAGACAATTCATTTCCTTCAAAACCCACTCTAATAAAATTGATGAAGCTACGGCTTGAATTAATAAAGTATTTTGCAAGTATATTTATTTCTGACAAAAATATGTTATTTTTATTGACTTACTTTAATGTAATTGTATCAACCCTCAGACATTTTTGCTCAGTTTTTTACATAAATCAACATGTTTTGAACATATGTATTGAAATACAAGTTTTATCTAGTTTAACTCGACCCTTTTTTTCAATTATAAATATATTATTTCATCGCTTTTATAAATAAATATCTTTTATAATATCACAATTTTATCCATTCATGAACTGTGTTAAATATTAAATATTATTATATAGATATTAAATATTTTATTATTGATTGTAATACATACTGTGCTAATGACAAATTTCGAAGTCATTAATAAATGTGCAATTCTCTTTTAACAAACTACCTATAGTTAATCGAAATATTTTAAAAATTGTTAAAACATATTGGCAATTTTGCAGCCAGTAATATGGAACATACAAGAAATGTATAGCATTTACCGTTCTTGTTTTACCACCTTATAAGGATCAACAATTTACAACCATGAAATTCAATAAATGTAGAGAATTTTATATTTTCCAGTTCATGACTCAGTTATCAGAAACCGATTCATTGCATGTACTAATGCAATATCAAATAAAAATTCAAAAATCATTGCAATTGATGTTGAAAATAAATTTTCAAAGAGATTTATTCAGTACTATCGAGAGGTTCTTTGGATCAATCCATAACACTTCCTTGAAAATATTTAAAGTAATTATTCAATATTCTTTGACAGTTAGCTTTTCGTTTTTCGTGTTAGTCACAAAAATATCAAAAAAGTGTTTACTCTTGAGAAAGCTACGTGACTGAACACGTTGACTAGAAAGTTTCACTGAATCATTGCAGATAACGGAAATACTGGTAGAGGTAAAAGGCAAATCAAACCTAACTAGACACGTCTTCATTCTTCACTGTACACCCACATCTATCCACAATAAGGTACACAGCACTTGTAGACGTCGGCAAAACGTTAAAATAATGTTTTCACTACACGCATAAGAAACGATCTTCATGAGAATCAAGCAACTATTAATAGTACGTCTAGTTGTTGCTGCGAGAGCGAACAATTATGAAATGTTCTAATGTTGCATTAATAATTACGCAAATAAACCTCGTAAGTCTGCACAAACCTCGGTGTACACAGAAAGCACAATAATATAAGGTAGAGGAATCTAAGCGTGACGTCACAAAGATGGCCACCGTCATCAAAGGTTGAAATCTAGGTGGCATTAATAGTATCGATAAGTGCCGAACCAGCAAAAATTTAGTAGAATGTTTAAGAATATCTCATCATATAGATTACGGTGTGAGGAACGTTTCTTTGCGACCTTTTTTTCATTGGCATCAACATTTTAGTTTTTAAGGCCCTAGAACGCTTTGTTTAGGAATTATTTAACGATATGTGTGAGTGATGCGGGTTACATTTGACATGAATATTTTTAAAGAGTTCCGTCATATTTTTGTAGTCAAAGTGCAATTAGTCACGTCTCCGTGAAATTCTCTTTCTTTAGAGACCTTATTTATAGAGATCAGTTGCTTGTGAGAGCCCACAAGGTGTGAATACTACTGAAATACTAGAGGAGACGATGGTCAGCAAGGCCACGACGCGACAAGGGCGGGAGCACAGTTGCCCCTCCGTCCATTCGTTGTGAAAGATTCAAATATTTTAATACAGTCGCAGATTGGAATTGTAGCTTTTTCACTTCATTAATTTTCGTTGCGAGTTGCTATTTTAATGTACTGTGATTACTCGCCCTGTACATCAGCGGTGACTCATACCTTTTTAAACTGGGTGATTACCAAAATAATTTGTCAACTGCAATGCATCCATCCATTTCTTATTAATGAATCATGAATACTGAAATTATTAACTTATTTTTGGGGAACGACATTGATTGTAATAAAAAGGAAAATATGGTTTTTAGTTTCTTCATAAAAATGAAATAATAAAAAAATACATGTAAAATAAAAAAAATCATGATAATGTTTACAATTGCTCCATACAACCATTTTATAAACTTTAGAATACAAAACGTCGTCCATCAGGCCATAAAATGGATTTGTATCAGCTGAAAGTACCTTACGTAAGTAACTGAACACTAGCCTGCACCACACAATACGGGTTTGGTATGAAATATAAAGTAGCACGTAGAATACAAAATATTTATGAGGAGCCGGTGCGCACGGAAACAATTTTTTCTCTTTGCAACACAACAAAAAAGTAAACATTATTCCCGAGAGGGTTGGACTTCATGAGTAGATTGGCCCGGCTGAGGTGGCTCAGGGCTACCGATGTCAGTGCAATGCATCTGACCGGCATGTTCTAAGGTTACCTCCCAACGGTGGCAGGACTTTCGACACTTGCTAGATAGCTAGGGCGAATTCATCCGCTGTCCGAAGAAGAATTATAGCGGTCCGTTGCTCTGATCGGGAGTTTTCATTAGGTTCTCCGATTAACACCCAGGCGAATGCCGGAGCCCTACGAAACGGGTCATGGACCGTGCGTGTTCTCCTTCCTCTTCCTAGACCCACACTTACATCAAGCGCGGTTTCCCGAGGAGGGAAATGAGCCCCCCCTCCCTCCTAAACATTTTCGGTAACAGTTCATTATAACTTGTCACGAAACTTTCAATCAAAAATATTTTTAGATAATCATTAAAACGAATAAAATCGTATCGCGACATGAGCTGAGAGTAGCCTGTGACATTTTCAAAAATCTGTAATATGACACATTCACCCAAAACATTTTTAATTTCCCTTGCCAAAATTTGTCTCTGGAACCGCCTCTGCTTACATGTTGGGAAACCGGCCGGAGTTTAGGGTTGGAGCTTAGGGGTGGTGTCCCGCTGGAGGGAGATACCTGTTTGGGGAAAACCTGCAAGTCCAAATGTAGGTCGGCGCCATATCTAGCCATCGAGCGGGGGAAGATAATTGCTACCCTCGCGATAAAACATACAATACTTACGTGACTTGTGCCCTTACCAACTGACGCCCCCGTGCACACCAAATAATCGATGAAAAGGTTCCGAAATCGTCTCTGACACGGGATGTGCGGCGGGATGACGAAAGCGCGATCAGACTCGTTTGTCAGATTTCTGTCGAGTTGCTCATGAATTCAGTGAAACATAAGTAAGCACACGGTTGCGATTTCTTTTGCTGCACAAAGATCCGTTCATCCTTGTTTCCCAATGCGCGTTTTCCAGACGCAGGGGGCACGAGATTGACAATTCATGGCGAAGGGCTGGAGGTCATAGGTGCGCAGTATTTCATTGCTTTATTTCACAGAAAGACATTTCAGAAATATTTATTCACAAATTGCTCATTTTAAATATTACCATTTGACATGTAAGTACATTCAAATAAGTCAAATTAAACGTAACATACGAAATATTTTGTAACAAGTAAAATATATCATTAAAGTAAAATACAAAATAAGTAAAATAAAAATGGTTTTAATTCATGCAGAATGTCTTGCAAACTGTAAAAGCATTTGAATGCCGGTATCTTGTAACTATATTGTTTTTACATGAAATTCCGTTCCCTGCCTATTTTTACCCTTCTACATAATAATTTGGGATAGGCCGTTCGGATCTTACCGTTATTTGTAACTAACGAGTTCACATCACTACCTGAAAGTCGAAGCTTACTTCTCCTCAATGCCTAAATAACTTCGCGTAATAGAAACCACTGTTAATCAATATCGTACCAAGCTGATGTACCGCATGGTATGGTGTTCTGTGCTCCAAGGCAAGGCCAACACTGGCTTCCAGGGATTTTGCTACGCCCGAACTACTGGAGTCAGATATTGCGCCGTCAGGTAAGAATAGCCTCGCGCGAGGAAGATTTACATATAATTCTCGCAATCTCGTTGAGGCAGAGGAAGATACACCCGTCATTTGCATTCTACACACGAAACCTTTTCATTAAATAATAATAATAATAATAATATACTACTAGTATAATATTATATAATTAATCTGAATGTTCGAAAATTGCAAAAGTTCAAATTGTTTTTGGCGTCTTGCTACAATTACAATACTGAAGATAAAGATTTTTCCTTGATGAAATCTGTTATTTAAAATTACGTCTTGAAATAATGTAAATGAAAACATCATAACCGTTAAAATTGCAAATGCAAATGTTCACCTTCTTTTTAAAGGTTGACGTGGTTGAGTTTAGCCATGAGGCTGGTGATGTACGAAGTAAAGTAAATGGGGTGCACACTCTAAGAAACTGCATTCGAATCCCGGCGCGGAGCAAACATATTTTTGCTGATTGGAAACACTTTTGCAGCTTCACGTACTTTTATGATATTGTAAAGCCGTTTAAAGTAGTATGAGAAAGAATGTGCTTTAGTAGCACCATTTGTTCTCAATTACTCCAGTAATTTCACTGCACTAATTTTGGAGTTCTTAATTTTCGAGTAATAAATAGTTTATTTGTTTCACTAAGCACTTTTGATCTCCTTCTCACGGGTCGATTTCTCACTGTTTTTAAACACAAAACCTATATATTATTGATATCACAATTGAATGAGATCTACTTAGAAGTTAAGATACTTTTGCAAAAATTTGCTCATATTGTGCAATTTTATTATAATTTTTTTTGTAACGTAACTTTTTTTTGGGCATTACTATTTCCTCCTTTCACAATTACACTATTAGCGACTTCATTTCACTTCATTATTTTGACTATAAAGTCACTTTCCGTTTTTCTTTCATACATGAAACTTAATGTTTTTTATTATTAATATGAAATGTAATATTTTACGCGAAATAAATTTATTGCATTCCTATTTTTCTACTAACTGACAATAAGCTTCTTACGTTGTAAGCATATAAGATCACTTTTTAGAATAACTGTATAAGCGGGCTAGAGTTCAACAGAACTCAGGGAGACCATTCGAAACAAAATGTAGACAACTTGCAAGTTCAATTTTTCCCACTAACGGATAAAAACGTAATACTGGCAACTTCATATTACATTTTCCTTACTATAAAAGACCGAAATAAAATGTACTTCTAGACAAAATCAGAATGAAAGGCAAATCAAAAAAGCCGTCTCTGCCCAAGAGTGTGCGTCTTATGAGGTTTCGAGCTTTTCAGCGATTTATTCTCTCGTGTTTCCGGGCGCGTCAACGGCAAAGTTCGTTAGTCCCGTAAGTGTAGTTATCGCGGGAGATGGCAGTGATCTTCCACCACTGTATGGCGAGATCGGGCGCCGACATACACGCCGGAGCGCGGGGTTTTTCTCAACCAGGCATCTCCCTTTAGTGAACACCGCCTCAACATTGAGATTTTGAAACCGCATTTCGATTAACGGTTTTATTTAATTTTCAATCATTAATTAAAGATTATTGTAACAAAGTAACATTAGAATTGATTTTTTTAAAACACTGTTTCAATGGCGTTTCTTTTTGCCTTCACGCATGTTTCAGTGTATAACCGAGTGCTCCGAAATCCGAAAAAGGAATTAAACGGTTGATATCCAGCAAACCAACAGTAAGCGGACCTTATTATTGCACCATTATTATTATTGTATAATTCGCATGTTATATATTATCATATTTATGTAATTAGCTGCCATCCGCCGCCCAGCATTATACCCACTTGCAGTTTGAATAAATTTATTATTTATTATTATAAAACACAAACTCCGTTCCTGAAAACCAATTTTGAAGGCATGTTAAAAATTAATTCTAACAATACACTTTTCACTTACATTGACTTTGTCAGCGTCCGAAGCGATGCGCTGTCTACCGTGTTTAGAAGCAGACTGCCGAAATCCGTCAGCAGAAAGCAAAACCAGAGCGTTTTCAAACGCATGTTATCAAGAGAAGATAGTGTGCGCTTTGCATGTGGCTGGTGGTGCTCAGTACAGCACCACATGGCAGCGGCAGGCACCGGCACAAGAAATCGTATCCCTATCCACTGCAGTTTCGGGAACCGCGAGTTGAACGGAAAATCTAGAATTTTCGCTGGTCTGGGGATATGGCCACCAGTGACGCTCAAGGTGAATGCCATTTCAATCGACATCATGACAAGACGTTTCGTCCGACAGCCGGCACTGGCCTCGTCCCTGTCGTTGAAATGCGCACACTTTAAAGCACAATAACGTTTTACTAGTTATTTCTATTAAATGTTACTTTCGCTTATGTAATACCTTTGTACTAAAAATTAACAAGATATACATTATACCTTCGTCATTGGATACGATGAAATGGATGCAGTCAAAACTAATTGACATTACTTTCCAATTTAGTAACAATTGTTTTCTGCCCTAGCCACCAGGGTGGAGTCCTCGAATCAGTAAGCGATTACAGCAATGCTTCCCGTAAGCATGCAAACTCTTTATATAGGTTTATTGACAGTAAACACTTGTCCTCGCCAGTGGCGGCCGGTGGGTTGCGAATTAGAAGGGCGGCATGCATGTCCGAAAACACATTATTTTATCTCTTCTAAATCTTTTTTTAATGAGGAAAACTATGGCCTGTAGAGTAAAGCCGATTTGCACGTATCGGGATTTTAATTCTTGTCTAAGACTACTTTTTCGTTGATATCGAACGATACAATTGTGTTCGCGCGAAAATAAATTTTTATAGAAAAATATATTTTCTTGGAAACGACTCCAAATTTTTCGAAGAAACTTAGCCTTTAGGACGAGGTGTTACTATTCTTTAGTATTCTTAAAATAATATTTCCGTTCTACGGTTAGGAAACCGAAAAATTAAGAAACTTGAAAATCAAAATATACATGGGCGGCAAAAGGCTGCAGCTGGCAAGAGTTTATGGACTGCCCGAATAGCTAACCGAGACTACAGAAAATAGAAAACTAACATGGGAAAATCTGTGCCATTCTGTAGCACCACTGCTTTTCTTCGTATTCTTACATATTCCACTGTACAGTAGAAGTATATTAATTTGCGAGTGGTTTAATTGGGAATTAAAAAAGGAAACGATGGTAACAGCGACGACAGGACGCAGATATTTGCAGCGGTCGGAGACGGCGCCATTAGGGAGTCCAGCAACCAGGGAGGTGACGCAATTTTGCCAAGCAATATTGTAACTAAAACCAAGACTTGTAATTAATTAAGAATTATTTAGTAAATGGCCATTAGAGTAAATTCAATTCTCAAAAAGAGTGCACTCGCGTGAATGAAATGTAGATTAGATATGTATGAATGAGTGAATGTTATTTGGATTTATTTTCGTTCAAGATATGTTGTATTGATATTCTGAAGGGTAAATTTATTAGTCGTGTTATGTTTTGTAAAATAGAATACTGATGCGTGTACAGCGGATAGCAGAATTCGCGTAGTAGCATTTCGGAATATTGTTTACGAATAAATAATTGCTGATCATACTGACAGCATTGTTAAAAATCTGCCTGCCTATTTTAGTAACAAAAGTGCAATGGCAGGAGAAAGAATAAAAGAGATCCATGTTCCCATATCAATATAATAATATTCCTGTATAGGGACGACTTTGCGAATCCACACCAAAATTATAAATTTGTACTGTAGGAGCATAAATTTGGCATTTTCATGATTCGTCAAGAAAATCAAACATTGTAGACCTGCTAGTCAACATAAATAATTGTTATTCGGTTACAAATTTTGACTCGCTCAAGTGTGGGGTGAAATAGTTGAAAGGGTTAATTGTTACTAAATTTTAATTCTCTGAGCGTCATACATACGTCCACACCGTGACGCGGCGTCCAAAGGGAACACCATTTTCTGTCTTCTTCTGACTAACTGCTACTTAATTTGATGAATTTCGCATGTTAGTGAAAGTACACAAGTTCAGTCAGTTATTGCCGGAATTGAATGCATTATGTATGATGTTTCGAGACTTTATTTTCATGGTAAGATAGTTGATTGAAAATGTACTTTTGATGAGTCTTTTGTGTAAAGATGGCCGTTCTGGAAGTTTCTGTATCTCGCGGTGTGTGCGTCTTCGCGACCTCGCGGCAGGCAGTCTGCCATCAGTCAGTGGAATCAGCAGGTAGTCTGTCATCATCAATGGAAGATCTTTGAATGTTGCCACATACACCACAGTAGTGACATTTTTGAAATAAAATAATTTTATTTGTGTAAAACGTACCAAACAATACTGATTGTTGGAAAGTTCTAAAAACCAAAAATTTTGTTTTGTATGAATTCTATTATTGTCAATTGTGTCAATGCAAAAATAATACAAAAACTCGAGTATCCAATAGAAACCAAAACCAGAACCAAGTGCGTGAGAGGTGAATATGCCTCATACAGCCACTACACATACAATTAAGTAAATAATGTTTGAATATAGTCTTTTATTAAACGCAGTTTTCATGTTTTACATGAGTTGCTTACATTTTATTATATATTAGGAAGTTTGCAAACAGCATTTCCGCCATTCGATGAAGCTGGAACCTCCAGTTTGATGGGGCACCAGCTGCTACTGGACCTTAGAATGGATCTGGAGCAGCTGAATTTACGATCAACCTCTTCAGAAGTTATTAAACACAAGCCTGTACCAAAGAATGCAAATTTTAAATGTAATAAAAAATGCGTACGTAGAATGTTTAAGGAGGACATAGTGTTCGCAATCCGACACTGGCGGATTTTCGACACTAGTTAGACGGCTGGGTCAAATTCAACCTCTGTCTAGAGGAGAATTCTAAGGTCGGCTGCTCTTATCGGTACCTTTCTGTTGTTTCTACAATAAACACCACGCGAATGCCGAAGCAATGCCCTAACAAACGGGCCACGGACCGCACGCAGTTTTCCCCTACTTATCCTTGTCCCTTCCTCTCCCTTTACACACCAGTGGCAGCTCGTGCTTTCGTTGCACGGTTGCACAACGCTCCGCATAATCGAAAAAGATCTTACAATATACTGGCAGAACCCAGCAGACCTCTGTATCTTACCCTCTCCTCTTCTTCCCCCCTCACTCTCTTATTTTCTTTTCTAACACCATTTTCCATATCTCTTTCTTTCACCCTCTCTCTTCTCTCTCTAGCAGACCCCGGCAGACGTCTCATTCTCTCTCTCTCTCTCTCTCCTCTCTTTTCTCTTTCCCTAACTCACTTACTCCTATTTTCCCTCTCCCTCTTTTTCTCTGCCTCTCCCTCTTTCTATCCCGCGCCGCCCGCTCCTCCTGTCCTCCTCGACCTCGCCCTGTGTCACATGGCCACGCACAGCAACAACGAAACCTAGGTGGATTGAGAATTGAGTTTAACTGATGCGCCATCTTGTCCTACAGCGCTATCTAGTGGAGCTACAACAAAATGAACAGCATAAAAACCTTCTCCATGAAAAAGCACGTAGCTGTGCCAAATTTCATAGAGATCGGTCAAACGGTATCGAAGTTCATCGATCTGGAACATACCAACATCCATATTTTAAAGCAATATAGATTAGGAATGTGCATTTTACAATTCAAAGCATTGAATATTTAAGATATTGCAGCAATATCGATGTGTATGAAAACATTTTGAAATCACAGAGAGCGCGTTAAGCGCCCTCTCCAGCGTCCCGTGCGCTTCCAGACAGTGCACCATCTCACGCTCTTAAGCTGTTTTACTGCGTTTACTCTTTAGGCATGCAGCGCTAGGTTTCATCATGGGGTCTCTGTTGTTTTCAGACCGCAACTCACCAGAACGCGGTGTCTGAAGGGAATAATTTTCGTCTGAAACTAGCTGATATTTAATTTTATGAATTTCGCATACTATTGAAAGTACACAAGTTCAGTCGATTCTTGCAGCATTGAATGCATTATTTGAGATGTTTGGGGAATTTATTTTCATTTGATGTTAGGTTTGTTGATTCAAATTTAGATTTGATGAGTCCTGTATGTAAAGTTGGCCGTTCTGAAAGAAAGTCCTTCTTCTGCCCACGGTATGTGCAGTGATCTTCCCGGCAGCATCGGCAGTTATTCTGCGCGCGCCGTTGTCCACATGAATGTGCTTGTGTATGCGCGGAAGATATGTTATTATTATTATTATTATTATTATTATTATTATTGCAATATTTACCAGAATTTTCTAAAAAAGAATACTTTTATTTCGTTATCATCACCAGAGGCAGCAGCAATAACAACTAAGATCATGAAATGAACTAGTGTAAAACATGACCAAACAATTGGGCTTTTTAAAAGTGGTGGAGTGCAGTTTCGAAGGCTGGTTCGTTTTTGTTTTGAACCAATTCTAGCACCAGAATTTTTATCAATGCATAACTAATACAAAAACTCGAGATTCCTCTGGAAATCAAATCCAGAACCATGTGTGTGGGAGGTGAACATACCTGACACGGACACTACGCCTAAAATTCGGTAAGTAATGTTTGAATATATTATTTTAATAAACTTAGTTTAAATTCGTTTACAGGAATTGCTTACGTTAGCTTAACATTATGGAGCTCTGCAACCCTCAGTTTATTGGGGCACCAGCCGCCACTAACACGTACATTTATTCACGACACTACCACACATGGAAGACCAGCCGAGACATTCTTTAAGCGTCCGACTACCTCGCATTTTGGAAGAGCAGTCGGGCGCAGAGAGGCTTTCCCGGTTGGGACGTTTCCCCGGAAGGGAAACTACCTGGAGGGAAATTAAACCCCGCTGGCAGGGCTGCGCCGGATCTCACGTGCTAGCAGGGCAGGAACACCGCCAGCTCCTGGTGTACAGCACGCCCTTCACTCATGGGACAAGTGATCTTAGTAGTCGAGGCGTCCGAAAACAAGAAATATTCATCGAATTTTGAAATTGAACAACTTATTAAAAACACATGCCACAAATCGATCAGATAACATTCCAAATGAGTATTCTCACCGAGGTCGAGCGGGCAGGATTTGATAAATAGTTCCGGATTTTGCGTCTTTGAACCGTGAATACTTCTCGACGGGGTTGCAGGAAGCGCGCTAAGACAATGAACTGTAAGAAATGTTTGTCAGGTTTCGATTGAGTTAGGTGTCGGCTTTCTGAAACACGCATGGTTGGAATTACTTCCGCTTCGCAAAGATCTGTCCATCCTTGATTCTGAGTAGGGTAAGTTTGACAATAAGCAGCGAAGGTCTGGAGGTCGCAGAAGCGCAGTATTACTTTTCTTTTTTCTTTTACAGGGACTCGGGTCGTCGGTCTCAATGTTTCGGGCTCGATGAAAATAACCGTGACAGACCATGGTTTCCTGATCTGTCAGGAATCGTTTTCCAGGAAGCAAGAGCTTATGCGTGGGCATCACTACGCCATGTGCTCACTAATCGTCAGCAGGGCAGACCAATAATTATTTTCAAAGTATGCTTTTCTAAAGATGATACTTTTGTTCATGTTTCTAAGATGCAATACCTTCGTAGCAGAATTAACATTTTTCTAGAAGTATTTTGCATTGCATTGTAGTAATAAACATTTATTTATGAATTTACTTATTTCATATTTTTAATATTTATTGGCACTATAGTCATGTGATGAGATCAAGCTTATATTTTCTAAATTCCATTTCAGGTGGCGAAAGTGTTGTTATAAAGCGATCATAAATAAATTAATTAAGTTAATATTTTAAAATATTTTAGGATATCTCTGCGTCAAATAATCTGACGATATTCTCTCAATTTAATAATGAAAATACAGTAAGCTCTCGATTATCTGTGAACCTCTTCTTTTTTCATTTTTTAACAATACGAAATATATACAATAATTACAAGTTCGAATAAATTTCATTTACAAAAAAAGAAGGTGTTTCGACACGAAGAAAGCAAAGTTAATCGATTTTGTTAAAAAAATAGAAAAGAAAATTGTTAGTCCATAAAATTATTGTTTATCATGTATGTAACTATGTTTAGCCATTTAAAAGCAAATAAAACAAGTTAAAGGCATGTGTGTGTTCATTTGCATCCTTTATCGGATTGTCGCAGAATTCGCTTATCCACGATTGCCGCGCCACCCAAATTCTGCAAATAATCCAGAATTAACTGTACTATTTTCCAAATTTCGGTACGAAATCACAGCACAGCAAATATTACGTGCATGCAGCAAACAAAAATAAAAAGCTCATGAATCAATTTGTTAGTTATTAATATGATTTTATAATCACATGAAATATAAATACGATTATTTTTTGCAATAAAAATACTTCACAAATGAATTCGCACTACAGAATGCAACTAAGATTACTGAAATAAATAAATAAATTATGGAAGGTGTTTTTAAAACTAGATTTAACATATTGAACAATACATGTTTAATGTCTACACTTTCATATGCATAATAATTATCAAAGGCCCTTATGTTCATTCACTTTACACAAGTCTGAAGAAGCCTATAAAACTTACAAGAATGCAACTAACCTTCCCCTCTCCTATTTCAGTCATTTTCAGCATCCTCTAATAGCAGTGTATTAGAATCCTCTTCCAGTTTGATTCTTTTCTTTTACTGCATGCAGATATGTGTTTATCTTCATTGTAACACGCACACGGCACCAGAAGAGCTGCTGGCAAGTCAAGCTTGTTAGATGCATTATAGCTCTGACGGAAGTTATCAATTTGAGTCCCAAGAGAACTTACAATTACATAATTAAAATTTAAGTAGAATGCGTGTAAAAAATTATATTAACAATATTTTTGTAGTGTAATGAATGAAAATCACCGACTAGTTGTCTACCATATAGTTCTTGAATCACAAATTCCTCTAGGTTTATCTAAAACATCCACTTTTTTCTAAAGCGATTTTCCGCAAAATATTTTTAAAATTAGATATTCTTCATACGAGTGCCTATGATACATGCCTCTTGTTATTTATTTTACTTCTACAGAAACTATAATGCTAATAAGACATCACCAACTAAGAGAGAACTTCATTGAATATGTTTAAGTTCAATTGACTCTAATTATAAGGTCAGAAAATATTAACCAAAGGTAAAGGGTAAAATGCCAATCAGCATCCGAGTACTGTTTAACCCACAATACTTTTACAATATCACATTACAGTATGTCCTGCTCCATTAGCTTACGTATGATAATAATTGTTAAAGTATATGTTATAAAATAGTTGAAGAGAGAGTTTGTGCTAGGATGCATCTCCTGATATACGCATCCATTATAACTGTCTTAACTGAACTATGCCAATTGTGTTGGAGCCCATTTGTTTCTTTTATTTATAATGAAAAACAATAAACACTGTATGTGACATATAGTACAGGGCGGGAGAGAAGTACAATCTGTGCATATTTTTTTATATGAATTATGTATAAAGATATTATACATACGCCGACGTCGTTAGCCGACCTGTGTCACGGAAGTTAAGCAAAGTGAAGTCACTGAAGTTAAGAAACTCGAGACACCATGGATTCCCCGATAGGTGACCATCTGGAAACCCCGGCTACTACCGGCGCCGAGCCCCTGGCTGAAAGCATTGACTGACTGCGAAGTTACAAGACAAAATTTAACTGAGGATTGATTACTCCATATTCGCTTAATGCTCAAAAGATGGCTGTAAGGTACAACAGATATTTTTAAATGCATTTTGGGGATAATTTGAAACAAAGAAAGGTTGGCACTCGTATAAATGAGCTATAGCTTTGATGGTCGTGCTAAGGAAATAACTATTCCTCACTCCTCTCACATGTATATAGTAAAATGAGAGCTCAAAAACACTTGTGGATAATGAATATCCATTTACTGCCCAGAAGCAAAGCAAGGGGGCCATCTCAGAATTTGCTCAATGGATCAAGGGACCTGATCAAGATCAAGATCAAGATTAAACATTAAAGTTCTTACTTTCACTGTATTATTTCATGTTCAATAAAAAATTTAAAAAAGGTAAGAGGGTCAATGCTATTTTTTCTACGTTTTTCCTGAAATGGAAGACTATTAGTACACTTCAAAATCGTACCACTTGCAGTCTAATTGATAGTAAAATTATATACATTCAAGTTGTAAATCTTGAAAATGGATCTCATACTTTTAAGCTTTCTTATTTACAAACTGAACTCGATTTTGAGATTTGGTTGCCTTCATAGATGCCCATGCCAAGTTATTTAAAAAAACTTTAATAGAATTGATGATAAATAATGCTGCAGATGAAACAAACATACGGAATAAAGGAACATAAGTATTTTAAAATAAAATCAAGTTAAGATTAACGGCAATAATAATAATAATAATAATAATAATAATAATAATAATAATAATAATAATAAGAATATCATCCTATTCCCTTAAATGATATTCAAGGCTAACAACCTTGTCTTAACTAAGGGATGTAGCCGAAAGGCTGATCCCCATAATTCCATACGTTGGATAGTCCAGGATACATACGGAGGAACCAGGATGCATACGTCCAGGATAGAATACAATTGGGCCTCAAAGAGAGATATGTGTTGCGTGGTCAGTAGTGGCCCATTCGCGAATAATACTAATAGTAATAATAAGTTTAAAACTGGCTGAAAGGAGGTCAAGAAACATAAAGAAGGGAAAAATAATAAACAGTACTGCCCTTGCCTCTCAGATTTTGGTTATACCGGTGATTAGGGTTCAGGATAACCTGGCGCGTTGTATAATTCAGTAGTACCCTCTTTGCTTCCGGAAACGAAACCACGACAGTCTCGCTGATTTTTAGGATTTTCCTCTCCTTAATGAAAGCTGAGCACTGGTTCGAAGATGCCGCATGGTCACCCTTACAGTTAAATCCTGTGGGGGGCGAAGAGCAGGGTATTTTGTCACATACGGGATTTACTGACATGCAGCACTGAACGAAATTACTTCGAACTTCAGACAACATTTGTAACAGCGCAGAGGGTCCTGACGTACTCGAAGTTTATAAAAGACGCAACAAGTTATTTCCCGGAAGGGTGATCGAATATATGGATCAGAGTGAAAATGGGGACTTCTCTTTCATTTTCTTTTCGCTGGATCTTGTACCTGTGTACAACAGCATGTGTTTTGAAGAATCAATGTATATCATTTTCATTTTCTGCGGCGGTGTTCTCGTTATTTACAACAGTTTTGTTTAAATTGAGACTAGGGTGGGTATGGACAACCTGAAAACAATCTCTTCTGCCTTCAAAAGGTTTTCAATTTGGCTGTCAGTGCGAGTTTCGAAGATCCCGCATATCAAGGAGGGGCAGGGCTTCTTCTCCGCCGCACCCCACCCAGTCCGAGTCGACTGACTAGCTACCGACGGCCCATCTAGAAGAGGCCGAAGCCAAAGCCAGTGGACTGGGGCACGCAATACGCGCACACGCCAGGACTCGTCGGAGTTCTCTCGTCCTGAGTTAGACGAAGTCTAACTCTAGGTCCCAGCGTCAAAGCGGCTTACGGGTGAGCGAGCACGCAGAGATCCCTTAATCCTTTCGACACGGGTCAATCACAGCAAACACATGGGTGAGCGTTCAGCGTCAAAGAAGGCCAATGAAGAAGAAAAAAGATATGATAAAATGTGAATGACATGAAATAAAATGTTAGAGGATGAAAGATGGGGACAGGAATACATGAGAGCCTTTTATGTCTCCCCCGTCAAGAGTGGACCGATTCACCTCAACGGGAAACTGAACTAAACTTCCTTCTGTATTTATTACAATCACTTTCGAAACAGTCTAAATTACCTCGCTTTTTAATGTAGATTGTTAATCAAATTAACATAAAGGTACCTAATTAATCTTGTTTCAAGAAAGAAGAAATGTATTTTCAAGAACTTACACTATGTGATCAAAAGTATCCGGACACGTCCAAAATGGTTTCATGGTGTGGTCGTGTTTTTCATGGAGGGGACTTGCACCCCTTGTTGTTTGTGTGGCACTATCTCGGCACAGACCTACGTTGATGTTTTAAACTCCTTGCTTCCCACTGTTGAAGAGCAATTCGGAGAGTTACGATTGCAAATTTCAACACGATCGAGTACCTGTACAAACTGCACGGCCCGTTGCGGAGTTTTACACGCCAATAACATCCCTGTAATGGACTGGCCTACACAGAGTCCTGACTTGAATCCTATCGAACACCTTCGGAATGTTTTGGGACGCCGACTACGTGTCAGGCCTCACCGACCTACATCGATACCCTTCCTCAGTGCAGCACTTCGTGAAGAATGGGTTGCCATTTTTCAAGAAACCTTCCAGCACCTGACTGAAAGTATGTCTGCGATAGTGGAAGCTGTCATCAAGGCTAAGGGTGGACCAACAACCTATTGAATTCCAGCATTACCGATGGAGGGCGCCACGAACTGGTAAGATATTTTCAGCTACGTGTCCGGATACTTTTGATCACAGTGTACATTACATACATCTCACACAATTTTACCTTCTCAAATACATAATATAGCATAGTATTGTGGAGAACAGCATGTAATGCTATAGCCTAGTAGTGCTGCTGCATGGTACAGACTTTCTCATACTAGTTTTCTTATCTCTTTAGTTTGAGCTAGGTTTTGGTTTTATCCCACGCTCTTCCCAACTGCTATCTATTGCTGTCTAAAGATGATTTTTTATAACAGTTTCTCAATTTTTTGGTCCACTAATGGTAGAACTGAACTATGAATTAAATAATATTATAGAAAAGTTAAACCTAGACTTGTGCACATTTTCATTGGGAAAAAAAAGAAAATTTTTTGAGGAAGTGTCTTTTCAGCATTTCTGAAAACGCACAATTTTGCGCTCATTTTAACAGAAAACTTTGTTTTCGCAAAGTCCATAATTCAAACATTGCAAAGTCCACAAATATTAACAACATGAGATATATTAAAAAAATACATTTGTGAAATTTTGAAAAAAGTCTAAATGGGGTCAATATTATTTTATTCAGTCCATTTAGCACTATCCGTACAAAATGTTTTAAAAAAATTGGAGCAGTTAAGAAAATGTAGAATTTTGAGCACGATTTCACAGAAAAGTTTTAAGATTTCAAGAAATTTTGTAAGACATCATTTAAAGCACTTGTACTCACAAATACAATAAAGAATCACCAGTAATGTTAATATTAATGACGTGAGAGATTAAAAAATACGTTTGTTTAATTTTTGAAAAGCAAATAAAATACAGGAAAATTACGGGTATGTCACCTTACAGTGTGCATTTAGAACTATCTGTACAAAAAGTTTCAAGAAAGAAGTTGAAGCAGTTTTTGAGAAATATTTTTAAAATTCCCCAATTTCACTCAAAATTACATCAAAAAGATTAAAATTTTCAAAAGAATGTTCATGAGACTGATTAAATAACTATTGTGGAGAATAAATTTTATTTGAAGAAAACAAATATCTATCTTGATTATTAGAGTTATAAGTTGACGAAAAATTCAAACTTCTGCAATTTTCACTGTTGCAGTGAAAATCCGACCATTGCCATCTTTATTAGTGTATTTCACTCTATTCTTACAAGAAATTTACAGGAAAAAATTGAAAATATTGTAAGGGCTTTATGTAAAGTACCCCCAAAATTTAAAGAATTATTTTCCAAGTTGCAGAGCTTCAGGTTGAGTCAGGCCAATCAAAGAATATTCATTTTGGAAAAAAAAAAATTACAAATAGTTGAGGAACCAGCGATGCAATTTCACTGAACATTGATGATTTGGTCAACTGGACATCCTGTTAATTTTAAAATGGATATGTTAATTGTGAGGAATACACAAGAAACTTATATGTAGGTCATTTTTCAGAATTTTCTCAAATTTGGATACAAATTTTCCTTTATATCTTTTACTTGATTAGGGGATGGTTCACTTATCTATACAAGTCTGATTGTCTTTACAACCACTGAATTTTTGAACACTGCAAAATTTCAATTTTTTAAGAAGCCTTTCATACACCTTCGTTATTGAAGCTAGGGCCATTGTTCTTAACGCAAGGTCTTTTTCAATATTGGTTCTTTTAATGATGTCCTATAGAGTTTTCACAAAATTCAAGTTTTTAGTATAAGTTTGAACATTTCACACATTAATCCCTAGAACACACATAACTTTTTATGAGTTACATCATTGTTCTCAAAATCTATTGTTCAAATTCTTTGCAAGATATTACTTTCAGGTCTTTTTTATTTTCAGGTCTATATGACCCAAAAAGAAATTTGTTTTATTCTCACAGGCAAGCTTGACTATTGAGCATTCTGATACTTCATGACTTTTTTTCTATCTACATATCTTTATTTGTTTGTCTATTTGTTATAGTCCCTGGCAGTTCGTCTCATTGGTCGGCTTGCTCACTTCCCATGATGTGACCCCAGGTTCGATTGTCGGTCAGGCAAGATTATAGTGTCCATTTTTCCTGCAATGTCCCAGTATGTATATGTAAATTCACTTCTCAAATTGAGATGACCAGAATACGACTTGGGGAAGCCTTTGTGCTAACCACACGTACCCCCTTAACCAATGGCTGTGAGTTCACTGGTCGGCCATGGTCTTTTCACGAGCCAATAAACCAAGTACAAACAAAACAAAAATTTGTTGTGGTTTCCTAAAAAAAATAACTGTTCCATATGTACTGTTCAGGTGTATATGACCCAATTGTCAAAACTCAACTAAACTCGTATGTAAGGTATGAGAATTAGGAATAAGGCAGTAGAACATTTTGTTTTGTTAACATAAATTTATAAATGCAAACTTATTATTACCTCCTTAAGAGAAGGAAGAATAATATTGTGGTACGAGGGATGTTTGATCTAGTAAGTAGTTTGCTCAAATGGCAATTTTACATAGGATTATTTCTGTACATCATCTAATTTGGAACAGTTCTTAAACTAAATATGATAATTCTGGGCACAAATGGAAAAATTAAGCCAAATGTAAAACTTCAGAGTGTTTCCTTGAGACAAAACAATTTAGTAACACTGCCATTATTTTAGACTTTAATAGAATGACGAGCTGCTGATAATCATATCAGCTTAAAAGGGAATTTCTATAAACATGGGAAATAAATCACCTATGACATTCTGGGTTACAGTATCATCAGCATTTTCTAATGCAATATTTTACGTTATGGACTCTGATGAATTCTGATTGGATCAAAACTAATTAACACAATACTTTGGTGGACACAAGTCTCCTGTTAGTGAGTATAAGGCATTACAGAAGTATCATACAAAATAACTTGCAAAATGGTTGGAAAATGGAAGTTTCAACAATTGCTTCAGGATTTATGGTTAATATTTAATAGTTGAAAATTTTCCCTATCAGATACCACATGCAACCGGGCTTGTACATGCGTCTGCACAAATATGATGTATTTGTAGGGCCAAATAGGTAAATCAGTAACAATTCATTTTTGCTTATATGACAACAAATTATTATAACACTAATAATTGAATAATTGGTTACTATTAACATTATACGTTATGTTATAATAACATTCAACTTTATAAAATGGTAAATCCTATACATCCCTTTTTAATAATCACTAATATGCAAAACTACTTTCCAGGTCTTATAGATCTGAGCAGTACAGCTGTGTATTCTAAATCCAAAAACAGCAGGGATAAATATGGGTCCACTTATGTTCATTTTCCACTGACATTGTTTGTTAGGAGAGGCAAGGATAACACATATGGGTTTTCTGTCAAGAGATGATAGATTAATAATCAGATGTTTTGAAAGTTCGTCACATCTTTTCACTGTATTTATTTCTGTTATTAAACTGAACACAAAATTCAGAATTGTGCTATCTACATAATGTAATAAAACTCAGAAAGCAAAAACAAGAATGTTTAAATCAATTGGAATTAAAGCAAGCAGGAAATGAAGTGGTCATTTTCAATAAACAATGTACAAAGAGCCCTACACAATATACAGGATATATTTATTTATATTTACATAATTGCAAATAGTATGGTCATTTTTAAAAAATAATAAACAGTACAAAATGTGTTAAAGGGGAATGCCTTAGGCACCAAAGAAAGTCTACAACTCTCTGACGAAATGCCTATAAGGTAGTTGTTTTCCTCTTTTTAACACTTGGGTGGTAATTTGTATCTGCTTTGCAGATTCTTTCATTGCTATTTTATTATAAAATACATCCACCCAAACTGCCATAAACCACCTGAATGTGTGATCATCTTTGCAAACATTTACAATAGCATAATAAAGTCAAAACTGTAACCCAAACATTCATGACTCATACATGTGCAACACTCACAAATAATCTTCTCAATTCCAAGCACAACAAATACAAACCAGAGAGTGAATATTACTTAACATATTCATTTTGAATTTTGCTTGGAATATAAGTCTATTATTTCTAATATATTCAATACCTTCCAAGCAAATAATATGTGTTTTATAAATGAATTAATATACTTGTATCTCACAATGTATGCACTCACAATACATATACACATGTGCACTTTGGCAAGAAACATACATCTTATTTTAATATTTCTCATGAAATTATTCAGTTTATATCTATAATATATTTATAACCATTTTATTACATCTTTACCACACAAACTGTGCCCAACTCTAATATATACATATGATATACTTCTTATTCTAATCATCTACTGAAATGTATACATCTGAATATTATACATAAATTTTCTCATTTCACAATTAAATAACTTACAACCTTTAGTCCTATGGGAGACAAACCCTACGGATTACTCTTAGATTCTCTTTTAAACATATGTGGATTAGGTGGTGGTGGTGGCACAGGAGTGACAGGGGGTGGAGGAGCAAACTGAACAGTAGTAGTGTGAGTGGTGGTTGTGGTATGGTGGTGTTGGTGATACAATGGAGTGAAAAGGTTCCCACTTGTACCTGTTGCTGCACTGCTATCGACACCAGGTAAAACTGAAATTCACAAATATCAAATCAAGTTCCACTTCCAATAAAGTAGAAGCTACAGGAATATGGCATATGCAATGAAATCTCTATGGAAACATATTGTAAATTAATAGTGATTTGATATTTTTCTTTCATAGGCAGGAACAAATGGTAGAATAAGAAAAATAACACTTGTATAAAGAAATAATAAAGCTTCAATGTCTTCTGGTACAACACCACATCATGCTTCTAAGGATTTCATTGCATTCATTATAATAGGGGAGTAGAAATGATTAGTATAATTTTCTATCTATGGAATGATATTTTATGGTTACTAATGAAGTTACTCATCATTCCATTTATAATTTATTAAAATCAAGTCACAACATTATTAGAAAATTAATAAATTAAGAATATGAAATTTACACAATAAACATATTCCATAATTGAAATCTTTATATAGTTTATGAAAGTATATTGCAGTATGTTTGTATTCAGGGGCAGGAGATGTGAATTACTATGTTGGAAACTACTGGATAAATAAACCCTCTTTTCCAAAACACTCATCTCATCAATTTTAATTAAAATGCTGGAATCCCTAGTTCTTTGTTTAATTTGAGAGACTGAAAAAACAAGTCTAAAATCCGTGAAGCATGTACTGCTTTTTGTAAACCTATGTGGGACTTTGTTTTATTCAGTTATATTCTGAAGATAGAAATATAAAACAAGACACTCATTTTGTTTTTTGGTTGCACACAAAAAAAATTATGAGGTTTCTTAGAAATGAATAAAATGGCGAATTGGTAATCTGAAAGTAAATGGGTTAAAGAAGATTCCCAACTGCTATAAATCTGTCAAAAGTGACATAAAATTTAGACAAACAGCTTATTTCTCAAAATAATTTTTTTTTTTTCACAATTACAAAAAGTTTACCAATTTTACCTATTACCAAGTCCATACATGAATTTTTTCTGACCTTTCCATTTGAAAATTCTATTTAAAAATGTTTCTGCATATTGAAAATTATTTTTATGTATCAAATTCTTGTTTTGATTTAATTATTTTCTATGAAAAATAATAGAAAAGAATATTTCTATTCCATTCTATTATTTGTTTCATTTGAACTATAACATTACTACTGCACAAAAGATGACTCTGTATACAATAGAATATTACAGTGTTACAAAAATATTTTTTTTTCCTTTTATCTGAATAACAAGTACGTGATTCTTACATTTTTAAGCTGAATTCAGATAAATGTTTAGACATTTTCTATCAGGGATAGTTTTTGTGTTATTTTGTTTTTAATTTGTGAATTTGTACTCACATTATTAGAGGTTAGATAGTAAGAACTTTTAAATTGCAATAGTATTATGACAATTGTAATAACAACTTTAATATTTTACCATTGTACAAACATAGGAAGAGATAGAAGAAATCAATTTTGTAATCAAAACCAAAATGAGAAATCAATACTTCCAACACTTTAGCTTTTTATAGACATCAGAACTGACTTCTTATATTCCAACAAAAACCAGAAAGCGTTGTTGGCATTCACAGCCCCTGATATTGTCATTCCATGGTCTCAATATCTTTAAAGAATCTTCCACCATGTTCATTTGATACAGCCTACAGTTATTTGGGAAGAAATTAATATGCAAATGCAAGAAATGAACCTTAAAGGACATACTGCACCCTAAATCATGGTAAGCATTCAACAGTTCTTTTACTGCTGTTTTATAGTCTGGAGATTTGTATTTTCTTAAGAAATTTTCTGTTACACTTTGGAAGCATATCCAAGGTTTCCTTTCTTTCTCTGATAGACACACTTAAAAATTAGAATTTCTTTTAAGTTCTCTAATTTGGGGGCCAACAAAAATGCGTCTTTAATTTTCACAGCCGCCAGATGAGGAAATTTGTTTGTAAGACAGGCAAATTCTCTCCCATTGACATTCAAGGCTTTAACAAATTGTTTTATTAGTCCTAATTTAATGTGAAAAGGAGGTAGGATCACTTCATTCTAAACAAAAAGTTCTTTTTCATAACATTTCGTTCTCCTATCTTCCAATTTCATTCAAGTGAAGTTTCTTTTACATAAGGGACTGTCTCATTTTACAAAGAAAAAAGGATATTTGGTATCACCTAGCTGCATTCCCAAGATTAAGGCCACAATCTTTAAATCCTCACATGTATATAATGTGTGTTCAGCATACAGAATTGCTGCAAGCATATGCCCCAAACATCACTCTTATGTCATAATGGCATGAAAGCAATGTATTGCTCTTATGTAACAGAACACCTTTCAGACTAGTTTTTGATGCATTTATAATCTTCACTGCTTAGGATCATAACATCTCAATGCTCCCATCAAACCACACACACCATTGTAGAAATTTAATTTGCCATCATATGAATAATATCTCACAAACTTCATTTCTCTTTCTATACACACTAAAACTTGCATCAACATGAAGGTTCCATTCCTGAAGTCTGGAACCCAACAACTCTGATGTTCTCTTGCTTAAGCCCAGATCACAAACAATAATTTAGGTTTGCCTGTGTTACAACCAGTAGGGTTGAATCTGCTATCTGATAGGAAGGATCTTCTTTTTCTGGGGCCGACAAATCACTTCTCTCAACATGAAAAAGTTCATCAAACTCATCTCGTACATTCTGATATGGTAATAACGGCAGAGGAAGTGGCTCAGAATGAGAAACTGTCCTCATTCCTGACAGCAAATTGGGTATTAAATGGACTTCTTTGATTCATGGATAGTGAAACCCTAGGTATTTTTATACAGAAATAGCAATTCATAAGGTGTTCCTAGGGCTCTCTTCATATCATAGGCACAGCAAATGTCTTAGAACTACTTTTCCCTGATCACCAATTAATTAAGTTCACATAACAGATGGAACAACAAAAATGAGGAGCACATGTCTTCTCCTGAACTATTTCACAACCAAAGTAGTATTTATACGGCCTCCGTACCATAGGTATCATCTTCTTCCTATTCCTTGTGAAAGTAAGTTCTCCGCAAATATAGCAGAAACTGAGTGCTTGATTTCAACATTTATGGCAGGGCATTTTCTGAGAAACAAAATCAAGTTAATGTAAAAATGAAGAAAACTGCAAACAATGTAACTTTAACTCTGGTTTTCTTGTATACACTAGTCTTTTTTAAAAAGAGGTTATGGTTACACTATTTTAGTTGGAAGGTACGTCTACAACTTCAATATCAGTAAATATTAAAACAATAAAAGAGCTTACCTACATATTAATTTAGAACTTACAGATGAGCTTTCAGAAAGTCAAAATTCTTACACAAACCAGAGAACATTTAAATGGAATGTAACATACAGTTTTCACAGTCACACAATGGTTGCCAAAACAAGAAATAACGTAGCAAATAGTTGAATATTTAACACAAAATCAATGTAGCCAACTTTACCAGATATAAATTCCCACTTTACTAGAAACCTAATTTGAAGCTAATACAAAATACGTCTGAATCTGTAGAACTATCCCTGATATGCTATTTTCAACCTTAACTTTGAATTCAGGATGCAAAAATCATTAAAATACACATACTTTCACAACAGAAAAAATTCCTGGTAACACATGGAGACAACCAACAACTTTGTTAAAAGGAAGTTCAATTGTATTTTCCTAGTTTTACTACTTATCTATAAATGTTGACCAACAACTTCCTGAAGTTTCTATAAACCTTTCAAATCACTTCAGACTACACAAAACTCTCAATACATCAGAGCCCACACTATTTGGTTGCTTTTGCACGTAAAGGCACTTTTACATGTAGGCAACTCCCTGTCCCTGCAAATTTTTAGGGTCAGCAAATTAAGAAATCTTTGAAAAGGGTTTTTGACAAAAATTTAAAAATTTTTTATTTGGCTATTTATAATCAGATTAAAACTACTATCTATGAAGAAACGTAAATAAACTTAATGTTCATTTATTTCCTTACACAAAATTGAAGAAAAAAGTGTACATGAGAAAAAATCATTACTGAAAATGAGGACAATTTAGATACAAAATAATATTTCAGTATTTTAATGATGTTATTGTTTAGAATTACCTAATAAGCTTTAACTAATATAAGAACAGCACGATATTCTCCAGGAAGAAGTTTTCACTTTTCAAAATGTTTGTAATCTTAGATGTATAGATCTCTCTGCATCTAAGGCATTCATTTCCTCTCAGGCGATTACTCTGCGCAAGGCTGTGGATGCCTTTGCAACAAAGCATTTTCCTGTTTGTATTTCCCTCCTTGAATACATGTTCCATTGCAGGTAGATATCAAAAGCACATGCAATTTCTTCCTCCTTTGCGGCAATAGAATTCTAGGTGATTGCCAGAATCTGTAGTTCTTTGGCACAATATTAATGAATTTTTTGCTGCCACTCTTTTACTGCTTTAAAAATTTCTAAGATAGAATATTCAGGACATGTTTTTTAATTTAAATAAATTGATTTGTACTATAATAATAAAAATGCATGAGAAGAAATAAAATTTATAGCATCATTCCAGCCTTTTTTTAATGCCTATAAAACTTCCTAATATATTTTCCATTTTGCACGCTTATTATACACCTTTGACTTAGTAATTTTAGTAACATGATATGATAATATTAGAAGGATTATTCTCATACAATACAGGACTCCAATGCACTGTTTGAAATAGAGTACTATGAAGTATAATAATTTTCTCTTTTAAATCAACTTTACAAATTTATGGAGTTATCACACGAGTCCAACTTGTAAAAATATTTTTCCATATTCTTTAGTAAAAATCCCTGGCTAATTTCTGAGACTTAGCTTTCTCTGACATTTCTACGTGTGCAACAGCCTTGTTTGAAATTAATGTCTTGTCTCTTTAGCTAAATTAGAAAAAAGGATTTTTTCCCCTTTACAGGTTTTGAAGATACTTTAAATCTAACTAAAAACATTTTGTACTAATAACATAAACAGAACATTACTAGAACAGTAACAATTCAAGATTATTATGGACAGAATATATTTCACAGTGTTTGAATTAACATCTCCCACCACATACTTTCATAAAAAGGAGGTGAAGAAACTAAACTAACTCAATACTTACCAGTAAAGGGAGGTGCGGTGGAGTATGTGAACCCAGACGGATATGTAGGCGGGTAGTGAGCCCCTGGAGGATACATAGGAGGAGGAGGTGGTGATCCAGGGGGAGGTGGTGGAGGTGAGATATCTTCATCATCGTCATCTTCATCTTCAACATTTATTTGTCGAATGATCTTAACCTACGGCAAAATAAAATAAACGAAAAAATACAAAACCCTCATTCATTTCAATTGAAAATTTTAATTACTTCTTAAACATATATCACAGATCAACAATATTTTTTTCTATTTGAATGCCCTGAACAGCTGCATTCTTTTTCAGCCCAGAAAGATGAATACATGGTCAACAAAAGTTTATATTTAGTAAACAGAATTTAAAAAAATTAAACTTTTACAATCTCTTCATTTAACGTCATATTAAAGTAGTAAATTATTGATTGCAACTAGCAGTTCATTTGAAATGGATATCTATGAAATGAATTCACAAGTAAAAATATTTTTACAGGTGTAAGTCACCTAAATCCAATATTTGTTTCGGACTTTGCAAGATTGCTGAAGAACTTTAAAATATTTTTATTTCATTTATTTGATATCATTTTTAACACGTTTTTGCATATTTTACCTTGTACTAACTATTTGTTACATGTTTTATTGAATTTTAGTAGTACATTTACATGTCAAAACAGAACATCTTATGTTAGATACAAGTTTGCCAATTCAAAAATATTGTCTCTCTGTTAAACTAAATGGTTCCTAAAATCGTCTTTCTGTTTAACTAAGCAATGTATTATTGTGGTTCTATGACCTCCAGATCTTTGCAGAGTCATCAAACTTAATCCCTCTTTGTAGAAAACATTTACTTGGAATCAAGGATGAGCAGATGTGTGTGAAACAAAAGTTCTTGTGCTTCTCGTATTTCACAGAGTTCAAGTGTAACTTGAACAAAATCTGACAAACTCTCCTAGGCACGATCAACATTACGTTTTGACCATCATACCTTAGACAGTGTGAAATGCAAGGAGGTGGGTTGTACAACGGTTTACATAGAATGAAGTTCCCCTCCACCTGCCAACTTCAGTTGGAGGGAAACCTCATTCTTTATAAACCCATGTGCAACCTGTATCCACACAACTTGAGGAAGTTCGCAGTAGGGCTGAAACGTTGGTATCTCTGCCTAGGATACAGTGTCTCCCAGACAACCTAGTAGGAGACTTTGTCCGCAGAAGTTGAAACTTTCATCATTCTCTTAGGCTTCATGTGAAATCTCCTCTGGGATACGATGCAGACAATATGCAGTAATAGTTTTCAATAAATTTAGTTCATTCTTTTCTGTGGTTGGATGTAGAATGTGTACATCTATGAATGTGATTTTTTCATTTCCGCAAAATGCAGACTCTTACTCTCTTAAATGAGATTCCATGTGGCCCCATTGTACATTCATTGTGTAACAAAATCTTGACATTTATTTTCACATTGTTATACAATGCTTATACAATGATATATGTTTGAGATTAACTCTTTACCAGCCCGTTAAAAAATACCAGTGTGAATTACCTGGCAAATTTGCAGTGAAAGGCAAGAATAAGACTGCCAATATTTACATATCACTCGTAAGATAATGGAAAGGTCATGTAAAACCTAAAACTTAACCGACTACACTTAATCTGCGACTATAAGATGACCCTGGATTTTTTGACTCAGATATTTAGGTAAAATCCTAGCCTTAAATTCAGTTAAATATGGTAATTTTATTTGCAAATTCACCGAAGTAATGTAGTCATTGCAAACAAAAGTACTTATTTCTAAAGAACTGACTTTCTTAAATATAACGAAATTTCACTGGAACAATATTTACTGAGGTCCTCACAATTTTGTTGTACTGACATTTCACTATGTTTATAAGGAAATGCAAAATGAGAGTTCACCACCATTGAGAATAAAGTCTAAACTTTAATTACTGGGTTTCATGGAAAACAAAATACTATTTATATTTAATTTTAAGTAGTAAAATCATTACAATGAATTTAACAACAAAATAATATACTAAATGAATACTTAGATTACACACTTTTTATAAGGAAAGGTTTGAATTTCAGTTTAACCCAGGGCCCAAAATTGTCTAGCCCTATCACAGAGCAAAACAAGATACCTCTTACCTTAATCTTCTTCTTTTTCTTTTTCTTGTATCGCTTCTCCTTTGGGAGTTTGCGAGGTGGAGGAGGTGGAGAAGGAAGATCCTCCCCAGCAGATGGGGATGTCCCTTCACCAGGACGGACTCCATCCGCAAATTTAACAGACTTTCTTTCAATTCCTCCGCCACCCAATGGTTTTTCCCTGTTTGAGAAAAAACAAGGAAATACACATTTGTTAATTAACTATACATTTTTTTTCTTTTTTCCTTCTGATTAGTTTCAATAACAAGCAGTAAAAATAAAGAGAGACACTAGACTCAAGTTGTAATACAACCATCACTGTTGAAGGAAATAATTTTACTTGCAAAGCTTCGAGATGTTTCTAGATTCCATTTGCAAAACGTAAATTATTGTAATAGAAGCTATTAAATTCAGGAAAATAAATTACTGTAGTTTTCCGCAGATATGACGAGGTATACATTTTCGTCTGTGTTTTATGATTTTAGTATATATCTGTCCTTCAAGACAACCCTGAATTACCAATGGCTAATGAATTTAATTTAGATCAGAACTCATTATTTCTTGCAACTGGCATCACAACTACCACATCTGGCAACAATGGCTTCTGGCAAACATTCACACTGATTAGGGGATTTGGTCATTATTGTACATATATGATAAACGAAAAATCTCCTTCAGCATTGTTAGGTTTTTGCCTATAGAAGCACATGCCAAATCACAAACACATGTACTACCACAAACAAGTTTTGTTGTAGGTTGTGTCGTGAGTTCAATCAATTTGAATTTGTAAGTGTAAAATTTTTGAAGTGAGGTCCTAATCATGGAACCAACAAAAAGATCGGCCTTGATTTGCCTCAGATGATAACCATTTTTTTTGTATCTGTCCCATAAGATATTCCTGCCTTGACCTCTATCTTTGAGGTCTTTTTTTGTAATTTATCTCTCTCCTTATGTGCTGAAATATATGGTATCAAAATTATTGATTTTTGTTTAGTATAAATAACTAAATTATAAATGAATATTACTTGACTTTCATAGTCATAATGAACATTTCAACTAAGGCTTTCCAAGAGGTTGAAATGTTTCTTGACAAACAAGAAATTTGCCTTACAAACCTCATTAATTTACAGAGTATTCAACACTGTAATATTAAAAATTTGAGCCAAGTATGATAATCTACTCAGTAAGTTGCCTAGATGCTATATTGTTTCATTTTTAAACACATTTATTTACTTTACACCTTAGGGGGGTTAAAATTATTTTGAGACATTCTTTTATACAATAAGTCACTTTAGCATCATAAAACTAGTAAACAATGTACTTAAAAGTACAGTGGAATCACTTAAGCATGCTTCTCATTACCATACATAGTACTCCTGTACTTAAAAGACCCCATCCCCATTTGGTTAAATGTATGATTTTTTTCACTCAACAATCCCTCTTAGAAAGCTTAAAGTTTGCTGGTAACATATTTAACAGTTCTAGCATTTTGCATTGCAACAGAACCATCTCCAATGAGCATTGTTTTCAAAAACTGGTGTACTTGAGGGTACCAGAAAGCATTCAGTCGGTTTGATTAAAGAGCAAGAGCCAGAGCAAAAGAAACTGTTCAGTAGAAATACTGAAATATCATTATATGCTCAAATTCTGCACAATAATGCCTCCACCATGTTCATTCTATGCGGGTTTTTTTATATATGTTACAATTTGATAATGTGGACAGTAGTTTTTTTCCTGTTAATAGGCAATATTTTGGTGTTTGTTTATTATTTGCATGTTACTTATGTGTTAAATAGTCTTTATTGTAATATTCTAATGAAGGAAAAGTACAAATGACACATAGAGTGTTTTCAAAAGCACATTTTCTGTCTCAAAACTTTAAACATTTTAGTCCCATAAATGTAGCTACTCTCCACACAGTCCTAAACCAATAAAAATAAATAATTTTAGTTGATATTTCAGTTGATGACAACTCAACATAAAGCAATTTTCATTTGCATCAGCTACATACCTGAATCCTGGGGAGACTAGAATGCCTTTTCCTGCTGGAGGTAAGATTTGAATGTCAACAGGATTCTTTCTCTTTCTCTTCCTTAGTTGTTGTTCTGCATCAGTCTGAGGCATTTCTTCTTCCTCTTCTGGCTCTGGCACTTGTTGCATGGCCTCCTGCAAGGAAAAAATGTAACATGCCCTTCAGAATGCAGTTGATTTTTAAAAAAGTGTTTTGCCTCTTAATACATCAACTGCCAAGGACATACGGTCAGTGACTTCACTACCAGGCCAAAACCTAAACAATCAGAATTCTTGAAAATATAATTACATTAAGTTATTTTATTGTACTTTTTTAAGTAATGCAAAAATATTTTAAAAATTTATTTGAGGATGTCAGCATACACGAGTCATGTGAGTGGAACTAGTTTCTTCCAGATGCCAGATGTCACAGCTCAATTATATTAGAAAATGCATCTTATGTCAAATAATAAAATAAAATGAGAAATGTTACATTAAAGCAAAAATGAACATAGATACAAGATAAAAATTAATAGTTTGGGAACAACAAAAAGGGCTGAGCCATTTGTTGCAGGTCTGAAAAAATGTAACAACCTTCATGCTTTGCTGGCCACTCTGCAGCAACTTGGACCAGGAGGTCCTAGAATTTGAGCTGGACAGTGGTATGCAGTTAGGTCAAATTAAGCCATTCTCTGGAGGGAAATTCAAGTGGCCAGCTGTTTTGATCAGTAGTTTTATGTGGTCTCTACAATCAATATCAGGTGAATGCTGAAGCTTAAGTACAGGCAACAGGCCACAGACCACTTAGGTTCGTTCCTTTCTCTTTCTTGTCATATACTCACCTCTTACACAAACATATACTCTTAGAAGCACTACATTATCACACATTGGGAGACCAGTTGGAAATTTCGAACTTGTACAGGCTGGGGCAGTGTCCCGATGGGGAAAAGATGGAGAGGGAAATTTTCCACAAGATGACATGTATGTTGGTGGTGGATCTCATCACATTGCAATGGGTAAGGATCGTTGCCACCTTCCATTATAAAACATTAACTATTCTGACAGATATAATGACTATAGCAATTGATGAACCCAGAAACATCAATCTATCAATCAATAAAAAAGCTTCTTACCTTCCATTTCCATGGGTTTTAACAATCTTTAGATGGCACTTCTGGCACCTCTTTTACACTTTTCTATTTTTCTTGACTTTCTCCTTCGTAATTGTCAGAGAGTGACTTTGCCAATTTTCAGACATTTGACTGTGAGAACTTGGAGAACTCGCTTTCAGCTACTAATAATTTATTTAGATTATTTGTTCATGATTCCACAGAGTTACTGGCAGGCATACACTGACAAGTTTAGTTGGAATAATATTGGTAAAAACTCCTTCAAAATTCAAGTGACTTTATTTACTATGTGTCAAATTAAAAAAGTAACAATTATTTTAAAAAACACGATCAGGTCCTCATCAAGAGTTTACAATTCTGTGGCATGGTCCGAACAGAACTAATTCAGAATTCAATTCAATATCATACAATTATCAAGTATCAAACTAACAGGAAAATGTCAGAAGGAAGCAATTACTATATCCAAGAATCAACTAATTATATCCCATGAAATCGCAATCTAATTTAGCAACCAAGAGATATTTTGTTACACAATTCATCCATAACCCAGATATGTATCCGAGATGCCACTGAAAGATATATCCTTCTGAAGCCAAACAGAGCGCAAGGCTGATGGTGGCCAAATGCCATGCTGCCAATGGTCACATGGCAGTCAATGTATTAAAGATATAACTATCGCAATGATTATGTGCAACTACTTATCTTAATAACATGCTAACAACAATAAAATCTAAGAAATTAACTTGTGATTACCTCAATAAGTCTCATTTCTTCAAGATCTATATCTGAAGCAGTACTCAACATTTCTCCGTCCTGTTCAAAGGCTTTCTAAAACACAGGGCAAAAAACAAAAAAAGGGTTTAAACATTTGTGGAAATTAACTTATCTTCCATTTTGAAACCCTTCATGAAATCATTCAACTATAAAACATGAGTTCTTTGGAGTGATTTCTTATTCTGGTTTCTGTCAAGAATGAAAGTAAGTTCTATTAAATTTGTATTGAAAACCATGCATGACTGCCTTACTGTGACAGGAGTGCTCATTCTCCAACCACAGAAATGAAGTTTGTCCCTTTCAAATAATAGCAAGATGTGTCACAGGGATAGCCTCACTCAGCACCCGTTACAATGAGGGAGAGGGAGGGGACAAAAATCAACAGAACTATAACTATGAAGACAGCAATACCGCCTTGAAGGCACCACTATCTTGAAAGCCTAAATAACAATAATTTCAAATCAAAGAAGCCTTCATTTCATTTGTTTATTTTTTCATTTTTCTTAGTGTGACTTCTCTATTAATATATAATATATTCTCTCTATTAATCTAATTCTCTTCTATGAATATATTCTCTCTATTAATCTAATTCTCTTCTATTAATATATTCTCTCTAATATATTGTTACCTCTATCTTGTGGTTCATTGTAATTTCCCAATATAATAGAATTATAAGTTAACAATATTATTTGTAACCGCTAACTATTAACATTATAAAAACTGTTTTTTTCATTTATTTAAGTGAAATTTAAGAATTAGTCAACTTTACACATCCTTTTAAGCACATTTCCTACCACATTTTCCTAGTATTGACAAAAATTTAATCATCACTTAATTTCCTGATGCAGTATGGGGGCAAAATTCTAAAACAGGAAAGGAATGGAATGGGATTTTTAGTATGTTAAAGCATTGTTTTTATAAAGAAGTAATCTAAGATGAAATGGTAATGGCAATGGATAAATGAATAACAAAAAAGAAGAGATTAACCACAGAAAAAGTAATGTACATACACAGATAATTAATTTTCTACCTTAATTATCATTTCTGTTGCCTGCTTGATCTTGTTTTGATGGCGTTTCTCTTTCTCTTTACGCCTCTTCTCTTTTTCTGCCCGTCTCCGTGCTCTGTCTGCTCTTCGGCGTTCTGCTTCTTCCATTTGAGATGCTTGTGCCATCTCCACGGATGATAAGAACGGAATAGGGCAATCTGCAAAAATGTAAAAAAGAATAATGCATTTCGTAGAACTTTTCTACTACTTATCCCCCCAAAATGTCAGTATGTGTAGAGTACTGGTAACGAACAGTACAATTGCAATTATCAAAAGTCATATAAAATCTAATAACTTTTTTCTCTTTAAACAAAGACAAGAATAAATTATTTTACAAAACAAAAAAATGATACATTAGGAGGACAATATCAGATTGTTATAGATATCGTAATTCAAACTTCCATGATTACTAAGAGTACGCAAACTTGTACTGTGTGTAAAAAGGCATTCAGATATGCAGAAGTATTTTAAACTCAAAGCACTGCAAAGTGTGTTAAAAAGCAAGAAAAACTTAATGGATACTGAGTTACTAAGGGCACAAACAGACAGGATGAGATGTGAAGCAACAAAATCAAAACAATTTAGGACCTATGCTTCAAGCTATAGGCATAAACCCTGAGAAAGTGGCAGTGGCAAACTGCTATTTGGTGTCCCTGCTGCTCTGCATCCTGTCTATTTACACTTGAAGTACTTAACAACACATCATAAATTTACCTTGTGAAGCTACTGCTGGAGTCCCTTCTGTCAATGCAACAGATACCATTGGTGCATGAACCACTGGAGGAACTAGGAAGGGAGACGCAGGAGGCGAATAGGAAATAGGAGCAGCCACTGGGGTAGGAACAACTTTAGTAGGCATTGCTGAAATGGCAGAGGATGCACTTGAAATCACAGGAGCACCAGAAGCGGGAATGGATGGAATAGGAGACGTGGCGACTGATGTGGTCACTTGTACTCCAGATACAGGAGGAGGTACAGGGCCATGGACTGACACCAGAGGACTAGTAATAGCTGGAGATGGAGACATTTCCAAACTTGGTGATGTCAAAAGAGGCACACCTTGAGATGGTGAAGGTGCATGTCCCAACAAGCCATGTACAGAAGGAACTTGAATGGGTGGTGTATGAATTGGTGGTCCGCGCATGGGTGGTGTGTGTGGTGGAGGGCAGTGAGTGGGCGGTGGGTGTGAGGGAACGGTTGGCAGGAGAGCTGGTGCAGGCCCTGGAGGAGGGCCATGCATGGGTGGGAGGTGAAGAGGAGGCATGTGAGGACTGAGACCTTGAGCAGCCAAATGAGTTGATGTAGGAGGAAAGGTTGATTTTGGAGGTGTTGCAATGGGCATTGTGACTTGTCTTGTAGAAGTATCACTTGTTCCTGGAATCACCTGCAGAACATTGCCAACCTGTACAACTTGACTACTTGAATTGCTCACAGGAGGAGGTTCACTACAAGACACTGGAGGTACAGTATTTGGCAGTGCATCACTTGGAATAACCTGTAAGACATTAAAGCAATGGTTAATAATAGAAATTTTGAAAAAGTATATTTAAGTGAAAATAAACTAAGATAATTGTCGTTTGTAACAACTATCAAATAGATTTATACTAGTTTTTAATTCAATATTTGTACAAGGAGCAGAATAAAACAGTCCTGCCCACCATTCACTTATCAACTAAGACATTAAAATTGGATTTTCCTAAATTGGTTGATTATGAGTAATATTGTCAATTAAACTATTATAATAATAATAATAATAATAATAATAATAATAATAATAATAATAATAATAATAATAATAATATTTATTGAGTTTCTTAGACAATTTTAATCATGTATGACAAGTCAAATAGGATGTATATCCCTACTGTTTCATTTACTACACCTCAAGGCAGAAAGGAACTTTTTAATATTTGACAAACATTCACTCTCACGGAACACGCTTGCACGGACAAATGATTTTTAGTTTTGATTTGAATAGAAGGCTGGGAAATAATTAACCCTCCACTCCTCTTGGACCTAGCACATGAGAGCTCAAGAAGACTTGAGTAAAGCAAGTGCCGATCTCATCATTTGCTCAAAGGATCAAGGGAAACTGGATGAAAACTCTGTTTGAAACGGAGTCATTGACCTCGAAGCTGAATTACAATACTTGTTCTGAATTACAATACTTGTTACTGATAGAAATAAAATACATTATACAATAAAATAATTGTTTTTGGTAGCAAAAGAATTTACATTTCAAAATGGTTTTGACAAATCAGTTAAAAATTATCACTAAAATATTGAAGAACCTTCGTAGGTTGAGGTCAGTGATAATTATTTTATTTTTCTCAATAAATTTGTCTCAGGACTATCATTATTAAAGATTCAGCATGGGAACTAATGTTTTTTTGCAATTCAAATAAATCCAAACACTTCTTTGTATACTTTTCAAAGAGTTAAAAAACCTCTTGGAATTAAAACAATATCACACATCACAGCTATTTACATCAAATGATCAGAATTCACAAAATCTATGTCCAGTAATTCGAAAAGCATCTATTATAAAACTTGGTGTTAGGTTCGAAATGAATGTTACATCTTTTTGTTCAACAAGGACACCCAAAGTTCTTTATTTGTAGAACTAAATGGAATAAGAAAAGAGCTTAAAAGAAAGTAATATCTCTTTCAGATTAATACCTGCAAAACATTGCCTGTTTGCAAAACCATTGACTGTGAGGAACTCTGTGGCCCTGGCACAGCTGGAGGAGGAACTTCGACTGGAACTACCTGCAGCACATTGCCCACCTGGAAGCAAACCACACATAGTTCACCTTGGTGAGGAGACATTGAAAAACGTGTCATACATAACACTTTTTCTTAAAGAAAAAAACAGTGCTAGATAAATTTGAAGTGCCTGAAACATTATCTTGCTTTATTAATTGTAACATGTGAGGAGTTTTTTCTGAGTGGGTACAGCAAACCCTAGATAATAGTAGAGAAGGAACTCTAAAATCGAAATTGGTAGTAAAAACTCTAGTGACAGTAGATACTTGGGTACATTTGCAATCAGAATGCAAAAACATGAAGCACTTTGTTGATTAACTGGAGGAAAGAATAGAAGAAAGTGTTGCTCTAAGAAGCCTTGGGAATCTGATATTTTGATTTCTGAATGAATATTATTAACCCTCCATCAATTGTTTCAATATCAAATTGATTCAGGCCTACTTGTAATTTGAATGACTTTCCAATTCTATTTCTCACCATCTCCCAAGTTACTTTGATCTCATATTGTACTAACCCTTCTTTAGATCTTGTGTATCAACAGGACAAACAAATTTGACAATTTGACAAATGTATTCTGAACTTCAAAGAATACACTTACCTAATATCATACTTGAAAGATAATGCAATAAAGTTGGTAAATAACAACAACAACAACAACAACAACAATAATAATAATAATAATAATAGTAATAATAAAAAGTCGGCCCCCATGGTGCAGACGGTTGTGGTACCCATCCTCTGAGCCGAGGAGGCTGCAAGTTTGAGTCCTGCATAGACTTGGTCCTACTTGTGATTGTCCCTTCACCCTTCATCATCATCCTATCATATCATAATTCACTCTTCAAGGCGTAACAACTTTGTTGTACTGAAGGATACAACTGAAAAGCTGATCCAGGAAACATTACAAACATTAATCGTGTAGCGTGGTCAGTAATGGCCTATAATGGCAATAATAATAATAATAATAATAATAATAATAATAATAATAATAATAACAACAACAACATCAACAACAACAAAGCCTGTGTAGTGTTGAAGATTTTAGCAGGATAGCATCATGGAAACACCCTTGCCATGTGAGGTGACTAATTGGAACAGCTGTTACTCATATAGCAGCTCATTTGCTTGGCACCTGTATCCTTTCGCTGGGTCTTGGTGGGTAGATCAAGTTGCTCGTTGTCATCCATTATCTTTTTCAAGCTAATCTGACTCTAACCCTCCGGTTGCTGGCAGAGAGCTATAAAATGCATTACCAGTGTGATATAGAGAAGTTTGTACAAAATGAAGCTTCCGATGTGCCAGGAAATAAATGCAGGGCCCCAGCCCAATGATGGCAACCCAAGCGATCAAAATGGCAATGCCCATCATAACACTAGTGAGGAGAATACTTCGACTTTAACTGGACTGTGTACCAAGAAGAATTAATAAAAGAGTTATTCCTAAAGTATCTGCTCAAAAACAAACGTAGAGGCAATCCCTTCCTGAGTTGGAGCCACAAGCTTTACTCAATTTCTAAAGCCTATCTAGAATTCAAATTTACTGAACAGCACCTGGTCGATCATAAAAATGTATTTATAAGACAAACATATCTTACCCAGATCGAAATCAATAAAATATGTAGAGATGTGGGAAATGTACTTCAGTCAGCTACAGAAAATAATCAAACTGATACAAGTATCGTGGCAAGAATAGAAACAGTATATGATTTGAATACCAATGAGGAAGTATCTGAAAAGTTTGTAGGCTATTTATTTTTGTTTTGAGTCACAGATTCCTCTGGTAGGATCCTAAAATCCTTAATTTGATCTAAACCAAACATGTTGTACAGATGGTCATACTGCCTTGCATGCAGCAGCAGTTGCGGTAACTGAACTTAAAGAAAAATTCATTCACAATAGCAGCACCATGAAAGAGAGAGCAACAGAAAGAAAAACCTACTTGGCAACTTCACATTGAGAAACCTATTATTGAGTTAAGAATGGAGTTTAACATAAATAATGAATTTCTTTCAAGCAAAACCAGCAGAACAGCAATAAAAATTAATCAAATCCTACACAAGAAGCAAACAAGTATTGACAATACAGAATGAAGACAGAAACAGAAGACATTTTTTTTTTTTTATGAAGATGACTTCAAACAAAAGTTCAAAACTATGGTGGATAGACTTCGGTGGTACAATGAATGCCCAAAGTACAAACAACAGAATATGTTTTATGAAAAAAATCAGAAAGCATTTTATCAAAACTTGGAACACAAAATGTTCATAACCAAGAGAATGTTGATAACTGAATTCAAACCCACTGGCAGGAAATCTGGAATAACCCTTCCAGCTACAAGTACACCACATCTTCAATCTCTCAACTTAAAGAAAAGATGCTCAACCATTTGAAATGTCTGAAGCACACATTATCACAGAAGATATTGAGGAGAGTCTCAAGAAATGTCTAAATTGGAAATCAGCACAACCTGATAAAATTCATAACTTTTGATTGAAGCATTTTTCTTCCCTACACAAATAGATATCAAAGTATTTGAGAGTAGTAGTCTAATCAATTCCCCAAATTCCTAATGCAAAGTGTTATCCGCTACCCAAAAATGATGAAAAATCAGATCAAGTTACTAAAATCACTTTTACATGAAAAAATATAGAGGCGTTTTGATCACAACAATATCATCAGCATGGAACAGAAAGTGTGCATTTTAGATACCTATGGAGGCAAGTCCAGTTGATAGCATAATTACAAATCAGACTGAGGTAAAAAGTTCAAACATAAGCATGTGCTACATTGTTGGTAGAAAATTTGATTCTGTTATTTGATAGGCATTTGATTTTGTACCCCATGACTGGCTGATATACATTCTGGAAGACTACAAAATAAATACTAAGATTTTAAATCTACTATGTGCCTTAATGCAAAACTGGCAAATGGATGTTTACTTGCAGTATTTTCATTTAACGTCAACATCAATCGCAGAATATTTCAAGTTTTTTGCATCATCTTTGGTTCTCTTTAACTGTCATTGATTCTAAACAAAGAAGGTCTAGGTGCAGACCCAAACTGAGTGATCTATCTCCCAAATCAGCCATTTCCTTTTTGGGGATCGTCATCCCATTAAGAAGGAAAACTAACATAACAAAAACATGTAAACACACATTAACATCATCTCTTCATATTCATTAGTACACAGTAATGCCATCTCTCGGAACTGAGTCCCGACTCTCCACTTTATCATAACAATTATTTAATCTTGTACCTACACAACACAACTTGTACAGTTTGATTTTGTGTTCAAATAAAACCATGAAGCGAATCGGATGGTGCAGTGTTTTTCTATACCTTTATCTTTTCAATAACAATTGAGGATTCAACAAAAAAATCTGAAAGTGCTTCATTGAAGGTATTAAGCAAAGACATTGGTATGTTTTCTTGATTGGATAAATGTGCACATCATAAGATACATCTGAAGAAATGCGAGTTGAAGTACCTGATGATAATTGTGATTTTCCGCAGATTCTGTACCATGACACTTACAAATACCTTGGCATCCAACAAAATAGATGAGTAAATGCAATGCGTTCAAGGAAAGAATTATCAAGAATTCAAGAACCAAGCTGCTGAACACAAAATTATATTCAGAAAACTTAATAAATGCTATAAATCAGGGTTGTCCAACGCAGCCAGCGGTGCCATTTATTGTGGCCTGCGTAAGGGTATTTGTCAAAAGGGAAAATCCCTGTCGACGGAGAAAATTGCGCCTAGCTCACGCATGCCGGCGAGGTCAACATCTCCCTTAATGTAAAAATAGGATTCATAAAGATTTGAGAATTTTTTCAAATAAATCCAGAAATTCAAAATCATCCCAATGTGTTTCATTGCATTATTTATGGTATGGTCAGATATCATGCATGATTCTACTTCCCCGCCCATGTTCTCCTGCCTTTCCTGCAGCAGGACAAACTGCCGAGATCAACAATAAGGGGAAGTCAGGTGTAGATGGCCTGAATAATGGAAATATGAACCGCAACCCAATGAAAGGTTTTAGTTGTGGCCCTCATGACCTTCCAAGTTGGATACCCCTGCCGTAAACACTTATGCTGTCGCAGTAATGACATTTCTTCAGTATTTTGAAATATTCAGATACAGACCTTCGAGAATTAAATATTCTTTATCAAGCCACTCTTACAACCTTCCGAGAACTTCATCCAAAGTGTGATTTTCAAAGGCTTTGTCTGCCCAGAAACCAGGGAGGCAGAGGGTTGCTTAATGCCTTCAATCTTTGCATGTTGCAAAGAAAGAAAATGCGAATGTACTTTCAAGCCCCAAATAGCTTATTGTTGAAGAATGCTATATGGTGGATGCAAACACTTGGCACTAAATCTTCAGAAGAATGAGACCATCATCAAAGTTATTTCTCAAAAGAACATGTAGACAGACTGGAAGAGCAAGACCTTCACTGAAAATATGGGTTAAATTATTTTAATTTCACCTATTTTTTCAAACTTACAAAGCAGAAGAGCTCCTGCTGAATACACAGGGAATATACAAGTGGCATAATGAATTTAAAAATAAAAAATTGAATTTGATGTCTGAAAAAAGACTTCGATGGTTAATTTGAATTTCGGAATTTGCTAGTTGCGAATAAATGTTTCAATACCCACAGTACACAGTAAAACTACAATACTGCTGTGTTGAGTATTACAATAAAGAATTGTATATCAATTTATAATTTTTAACCATACTTATATTCTTGAGGAACACTTGCTACTGCATTCAGATTCGAATAAATTATAGGAATCCAAATTTAACAACAGAAGCATGAAAATGCAAAGCAAATTTTAGGTAATAATACATAGTAATTCGTGAATGGAGGAGTAAAAGCATTTCCTAAATAAAATAAGTGGTTCTTGAATTCAACGAAAGACTGCATAACTATTGTTAAAACTAGTTCAAAATACAACACACACTATGCTGAAATCAGTACCTGAACAACTCTGGAGCTTTGAGGTGGCTGCACACCAATGAAGGCTTCAGGAGAATCCCAGTTAGTCAGCGGTCGAATGTTTGGTGTGGGCAACAGAGGAGGTCTTCTTTTTTGAGGAGGTGCATCCAGAGATGGAGGAGGCATCTGCAGCAGGCCTGGTTTCACAGGTGGAGGTGGATACATATGTTGGGGAGGTGCATACTCTTCTACAGGTTGACCATAAGGGGGTGGAGGAACATGTGCATAGTACTGAGCATAAGGAAATGCTGACTGTTGCTGTTGCTGCTGCTGTTGTGGTGGTTGTTTTGTAGGTACCTGCTGATGAGGTGCTTGTTGTGGTTGCGGACAAGGTGGAGGTTGCTGGTGTTGATACACTTGGTACTGAGCAGCTGACAAAGGAGGTGGAGTGTTCTTCACTCCCAGCTCCATTTCTATTCGGTCATCAAGAGACAATCTCTTAGGGGAAAATGCTGGTGAGTCAGTTGGGGTAGGAGGACGATCAGATGGTGAAGAGGCAACCACTTGCTGTTTCAAATATGGTGGTTTTCTTTCATATGATTTACTAGGAGCAAGGCCAGGGGGATAGGCAGTTGATGAAGGTGACATTTCTTGAGATCGATGAGCCACGTCTTCCTGTTTGCTCGACACCAACTCTGAATCACTTATCGTTGAATCAGCTAAACTTCGCTTAAATCCAACAAGTGGGGATGAAGCAGGCGAGCGGCTAAGCTCCATATCAGCTTCACCTGCAGCTCCACCGGGCCACGTACTGGCACCACCCAATGTACTATTGACAGGCAGAGGGATATCCCGAAGATAGTAATTTCCAGTGCAATCACAGTCTCTTTCCTTGGGCTCTCTCTCCCACTCCCCTTGCCAATAATCTGGAGGAGGGCTGTGACTATGTTCTCTGCCTTCTCGATGACTCTCTCGACGATCACGATCATGATGATAATCTGTAGGACTTCTATTTCTCTGATTACTCTCACGGTCTTCCCTGTGTCGGTCTCTCTTTTCACGTTCCCACCTCCCTCGGTCTCGCCGATCACTTCTTCTATCTCGATCTCTCTCCCTTCTTCTTTCTTCCCGTCTATCACGCGAATCACGCCTCTCCCGTTCTCTCGCAGAACTTCTTTCCCTTTCTGCAAAATCTTTTCTAACAGGCTCTTCATCATGCCGAGAATCACGGATATCATTTTCTCTTCTCTCTTTATCTCTAAATCCAATTCTCTCCCCATCACAATAATCCTTACGGCTTCGATCTTCTCGACGTTGATCTTCATCCACTCTCTCTCTTTCTCCACAGGGTTTTCTAATCCTGTCTTCATCTCTCTGCTCTCTATCGTCAATTTCCCTTTTAATTCTTTCAGCATATTCTTTCTTATTTTTATCATGAACATCCTCCGCATCTTGACCTTCAACAACCCTTCTTTCTCTGGAGACTTTCTCCTTTTCATCTTTTCTGTATGGGTCATCAGATTTATCCCCTTTGGTATGTTCACCACTTATTAAGACATTGACTTTCCTGTCTTCACCGTGATTGATCAGACTTGGAGTATGAACAAGTAGTTTATTTGGATCACTTTCTTCGCTTCCATCTTCTGTAAATTTTTTTCTGAATTGGTAGTCATCATGTGAAGTTTGAGATTCTTCAGTTCTCTCTTTCTGTTTATTATTAGCAACTGCATCACTCTCATCTATACCTCTCATATCTTTATAAACACCCCCACTACCTTCATTAAGTGTTCTTGTATCTCGCATATCCTTCCGGATATCATGTTCATCTCTCCTTATATCATGCAGTTCATTATCTCTGTGCCTTTTGTCATCCCGTTTCAATGCATTCGTATCTTGATTTTGCCATTTTCTCTCATCCCAGGATTTATCATCTGCAAAATCAATATGCCTTTGAGAGGATTTTTCAACAGATTCTTGTCTCTCTGTAACGATCTTTTCTTTGGCATCAGGTTTCACATCACACATTCTAAATGCAGATGATTTGGAATGGTATGTCACTTCCCTTGATTCCCATTCACTCTCCGACTCATCTTGACAAATATTTTCTTTTTCCAGGTGAGATCGAGCTTGACTGCTGTTTTTAGGCATTTCAGGTTCATGAGAATAATGAAATAAATTCACAGCCTCAGTAGTTGGAAGAACATTTATACCTTTTGGTTGCTCTAAATCATTTTCCCAGTCTATCAAAGGACCACATCCTTCAGAATTATCCTTTTCAACTTTTTCTGAAGTAAATTTTTCACGTCTTACAGGTCTGTCATGCCATTGGTCATGAATATACCTATTTTTGAGAGATGCATCTTTTTCTCTTGATGCTTCCCAACCTTCTTCTACACCTTCAGGTATTTCCCATTCACTGAAATTTCTACTTTTACTTCTGTTAATCAGTTCCTTCTTCTCTGAGATTTCATTTAACACATCAGAAGACTTTTTCACTGCAGAATCCATAAAACAAATTCCTTGAACATTTTTAGTAGGTAAATTTTCTTTTTTTTCTATGTTACTTGGAATATACTGATCATAGAATATCTTTTCACTGACTGATTCTGAAAGAGCATCAGACTCATTTCTTGCCAAAGGAAGAGATTCATATAATTCTTCAATTACTTTCTTTTTAGGAGGAACAGTAGTCATGCCCCATCGAGATGGACGTTTTCGTTGACGTTCTTTGGGATGTGAATCAGAATTGGAAGAACCTGCTTCAGTTAAAACTGGAATCTTTGATGAAGAGGTAACTTCTGAAATCGTTGTCTCAGTCGTAATACTACTGGCTGGAGTTTGTTCTACAGTTTGCAGATTGGTAAACCATTCATCTCTAGAGCTTTCAAAAACAGATGCTCCACTTCTTTTCTCAGAATCAGATTCAATTCTTTTATCAAGATTAGTTTTTTCATTTTTTAATTCTTGTGTAACATGTTGCTTTGCAGACATGTTACTATTGTCATTGTCAACATTGTCAGAAGAATCTACAAGAGACTGAGATGATTGTAAACGACCCGAAGGAGATAAGAGTTTGAAGGAAATTGCTTGCCTTTGATTAGGTGTTTTTACAGATTTTGAAGATGAACTATTAAGTTCTGGAACTGGCAAATTTGGAAGTTTTTCAGAAATAGATTTATTAATTTGTTTATTTCGGGTACTCATTGAGATATCTTCCAGCTGAGTTACAGAAACAGTATCATCTCTGTTGGCTAAAATTGGAGTTAGTGGAATGTTATCTAAGGTGAAATTAGTACCTCTACTTGATACAACACGAGGAGTTTCAGGATTTCTACTACCAGGGCGAAAACTTTCCTCTGATAGGTTATAGTTTTGCTTCTGAAATAATTTTCCACTAAAATTTGCATCTTGAGAATCCTTAAAACTTTCCCGAGATAAGTCACTCCCAAATCTATCTATGATTTTGTCAGGCATGTGGGAAAACTGACTTGAATCTGTACTACATATTTCTCTTGACTGAGAATTTGAAAGATGTGATTTAGGAGTTTCATCTTCAGGTGGATCTGGACTGTACAACAATGGAACTTTGGGATTACGTAAGTTCTTCTCAGTATCACTGGTGACATCTTCCGGTTCAACTTTTACTTTCACAAAAGAATATTTGTCACCAAATGATTTTAAACAACTAGAATCAGACTTTCCTGAAGTGGATGAACGAGATTGTTTCTGGTAACCATGATCATCTTCAGTTTCATCATCACTTACAAACCTCTGCGTATTCTTATCAATATTTCCTTCCATAGAATCTTTTCCCGTAAAATTGTCTTCATCTTCTTCACTAAATACTTCCTTTTTAATGTCTTCACTTCTTAAAAGTTGCACTGGATAGTTGTCTTCAAACCCTGCTTTCCTTGGAGATGTTCTGTGATTTCTATCTTTTGCATCATCACTTTTATTTTCTTCCCTGCTATTACGGTTATCACAACTGTCATTCGAAGAATTATCTTCCCAATCATTTCTTTCTAGTACATTAGAATTTCTAAACCTCAAATCTTCATTTCTTTTAAAGGAACATTCTTCTGAAAAATCATCAGTGTGTTCAGACCCCTCCAAATCCTTTTGCTTGTGGCCCTTTTTACTCCCACTACTATGCTTAAGTTTACGGCTGCTACTGCTTTGTTCCTTTGAACGTTCACGTTGAGAAACAGTTTTCCCTTCAGTAGAATTTCGTCTCTGGGGAGTAGGCGAGTGCTCTGGAGAGGTGGACGGAGAACGACGCCTTTTTTTGTTTGAACTGACTACAGGAGATGTTGTGCATGACCGTCTTTCCCGTCTGCGTTTTTTAATACTCTTTCTCTCAGATTCATCATCACTCGACTCAGATGCATGGTGATGGCTACTCTTCTTATAAGAACTGCTCGATTTCTTTTTCGACCCACTCTTTTTTTCTCTTTCTTCATTGTAATTTTCATCTATAGAAGAACTATCTTTACTATATTTCTTAGAACTCTTTTTATGACTTGTCTCAGTTTCATTTGAACCTTTATTTTTTCCAGATGCCTTTTTGCTGTGGTCTGAACGCACATCAGAATCTTTACGATGACTAGTACTGTTTAAATCTTCATGCACAGTTGATTTTTCATCAGAACTGTTTTGTTCAATATTGTTTTCTTTAGAAATATCCTTCTTTGATGTTTTATGACGTGTAGATTTGGAACGCCTACTACGCACATTATCTTCTGAGTCACTCGACTCTGATTCTTTACGACTTCGCTTTCTTTTCTTACTAGGTTTCTTTTTTGGGATTCTTTTGGCTTTCTTCTTCTTCTTTTTTTTCCGAGCACTGCGATCATCAGAAGACACATTCTCAGAACTACTGTCACTTCCTTCTGAACTACTACTTTTGGCTCTTCTCCTGCTTCTCTCTTTATGTTTTGGTTTCTTTCTATGATCATCTGAACTGGAACTGGAACTATCAGCGTTAGAAGAACTGTCGCTTTCTGAACTACTGCTGCTATTAGCACGTTTCTTCTTACTGGTCTTTCTCTGCTTCTTCTTGTTGTGAACAACTTTTTTACGCTTTTTCTTCAAAGTCTTTTTGGATTTGCTTTTACGTTTTTCTTTAACTTCTTCTGATTCAGCACTGGATTCTGAACTACTAGAACTATCACTAGAAGATGATCTCTGCTTCCGGTCTTTTTTAGGATGTGTATTATTTTGCTCCACATTATCAAGTGCTCTAACTTTAGATTCTTGCTTTTCCTCTTTTTCAGGGGGCATAAGTTCATCTTCAGAAGCAGATGAAGTCATCAACTTTGGTTTGTTGTGCAATTTTGTTTCAGATAACTTCTTCAGGTGCTGAGTCTCTTCAACCCTAGCAGGTTCTATATCCAGCTTGTCATGACTTGCTTCACTATCAGCAGAATTTCTTCTATCACGTCGTTCTTGAGCAGGAGTGTCTGGTGTTCCTACACGTTTGATTGCACCTTTGACTACAACCTCTGAAGAAGGAATTTCCGTATCACCATCTTCCACTGCTGAAGACTCAAAGCTAACAGCTTTCATGAATTCCTCATATTCGGACGCTAATTTCAAGTTAGTGTTCCCATCACCACTATTTTCTGGATGGGCATTATTGGTTGAAGATTCCTGAGGAAGCCCGGTTGCATAAGCACATTTCACAGATTTGGGTGTATTTTCTTCATCAATTTCCTTACCAGTTTTGGGATTCTGCGGGTTCTCTGTTTCTTTGTCCTTCAAAACAAGGCTGTCTTTTGCAACAGTGGTAGAATCTTCAGAGTTGCTTTCATTAGCACTTGAACTTTCACTGCTACTGTCACTAGAATTATCACTCTCACTACCTGATTTATCTTGATTTTCAACTGGTATCTCATCTTTTACACTTATCTCTGCCAAATTATTTTCTGGGTCTTTTTCTTCCCACTTTTCTGCATTATCATTGACAGTCTCTGGACTCTGAGAATTCTGTGTGGTAATATCATCTTGCACTCTGTCATCCTCATAATCACTATCCCACTTTGATCTAACAGTTGTCCTTTCCCCACTTCTAAGAGAACCTTTTGTTTCGGGCTCAGATGATTTTACATCTCTTTCTCTCTCACTATTTACGTAATTAGGCAATTCATTTTCTCTAACTTCAGAACTTTCTACAGAACTATCTTTCTTCTTTGAGTAACTGTCTACATCAGTCTCGTCACTTCTCTCCCGTTTAACATTCATTTCCACATCACTTCCTGTACTGGGGCATGCTTCTTCACCATCTGGCCACACCACTAACTTTTCAGGCAGAAACCAAGGTCTTTCTCTTCTGGTACCACTAGTGTCATCAGAAGAAGACATATTTTCATCTATTTCTGTTTCATCATAAGAAACTTGTAAAGCTGCCAGACTATTTGACAAATTTGCATCAGTGGTTTGTTTAGCTTTGTAATTTTTTTCAGTCTTTGAATTAATTTTACATAAATCACCATTTATTACACAATGCATTAAATCTACAACTCTTTGCGATGCTTCACACAATATTTCTTTGCGTGTCCTGTAATAGGCTTTAGAACTTGCAGGATTTTCACAATAGGGTATTGATGGACGAAATTTAGTGAAGTGTATCAGACTTCGAGGATATTCTTTCTGCATCTGACGTACACCAACTGCCAAAAAAGGGTATATAACTCGTGATGTTGATTCAAAAGGTTTTAACATTATATCATGATCAGATTCAGGTGTTCTATCTTTGTCTTCAGACTGAGTTGGTGATTTATGTCGTTTTTCACGAGACCTGGCAAAAGAAATAAAAATTGAAATATTACAATTTAAGATCAGGTATTCAAGTATAAGTAAATAATTGTTTTTTACAATATTTACATATTAAATGCAATTCGCTACATAACTGACATAACTACACACACAAAATGTTTGGAGAGAGACAAGTATGACACCCATTACATTCCTTTCACAGTCATGAGATATATACTTTTGTAAATATGTAAAACCCTGACTTCTACATTAACATACCTAGAGACCTTTGTTTGTTTCTAAGATGCAGAAATAAGTACTGATTCTGGTAATGGTTGTGGACAAAAATTGTAGTTATGCAAGTCTGATCCTAAGGTAGTGAATTAAAGTGTTAATTTCTTTAAAACACAGAAGCTACACATTTCATGAGGTTCTTGATTATTATAAATATAATATAAGGAACTTACTTTCATTACAAGAAATCTCTAGGTAAAATAATAGGATGTATAAATGATTTGCACCTAAAATAGAATGAAATTTGGGCCAAGCATACCTGCTCCTATGTTCTCTGTCTCTTGATTTTCTTGTTCTTCCTCGATTATTACTTGCCAACTTATCTTTTTCAAGTTTCAATTTGAGGCGACGAATTTCTTCAAACTTAAACCCTCTGTCTCTAAACTGCTGCCAATTTTTGGGCAATTCAGATGGACGATGCTTCTTTTCTTCTTTTTCTCGTTCACGACCACTACGACTATGTCTCTCCTTACTACTTCTATGATGTTCCTTGCTATGATGGCTACTTTTCTCTGAATCTCTCTTTTTCTTTTCTTCACTTCTCTTCCTCTCCTTTTCGTCATCTTTGGATTTTTTTTCACTATCATGAGTGAGTAAGCTACCAAGTAGTTCCTCAATGGCACCCTTTCGCTGTTCTGACAATATGTTACTCATTTCAAGTTCATCTCTTGGCTTAACTAAAAAAAAAGCGACAAATATAAAAATTTTCAGCATTTTAAAAACAAATATTCTCATAAAACATCATGAGTTGATATTAACCTGGTGGTAAAATTGAAGCTGACATAAGTGGGAGAGGATATGTTTGATCTCCAAGTATTTGTGGACCTATTTGCGAGTTGTATCCCAGAACACCTCTCATCAGCATTTCCTCTCGTTTAATTTCTTCAATAGCAGATACAACAGCACGAGCTTTGTCATCTCGCGAAATTCCCTTCTTGCCCATGCCCTTTTTCTTAGGAGAAGTAAGACGTTCATCTTTGTCTTTGACTCCAGCATCATCATCATTAGCAGTACCTAAGAGAATAAGAAGTGAATCAGAATATGATTAAAGAACAATTCAATTTATACCCAATTGATTGATAAAGAAATGAATAGTTCACTTCTTTCATCTTTGTAAAAACAGAAAAAGAAACAAAAAGGAAATAACAATAATAATAATAATAATAATAATAATAATAATAATAATAATAATAATTACAATAATAGTAGTAGTTGTAGAAGTAATATAACTAAAGACAGTAATTTCAGTGTAATATACACAATAATAGTCAAATTTGAACCAAACGTATGTGGTTTTCCTTTGAAAGAGATGTGTTTCACTTCCAGCCTTAACAATCACTATATACCATGGTATACTGAGCATTTCTGACTTTCATTTATCAAGTTATTCCTACTTACCCATACGTAGCTCAGCAATATTTTAAACATATTCATAAAGGAGAAGTTTTGGGTTTTAAAATAATACCAAAATGTAAAATTTATAAAAATACAAACCACAAACCTTTTTAAAAATTTTCTTAAAATTAACAATTAAAATCCTAGGTATTTTTCATTAATACGTTGTATCAGTATAATATAATTTTAAGCAATCTGGCATGCAGAGGGGTTAAGGGCAAACTTTCCTTGAATATTTTTCTGTAGATTCTTAAGATAGGAAAAGAAGCTGGAATGGATTTGGCCTGGTCCAGGCAGAGAGCTAACACACTTCATTAACTTCTATTAATTTTTTGGTGCCTTAAAATAGCTTAGAAATACAATTAAAAAACTGGCAGCACACCCTGGGCAAGGACCTTGTGCAGTTAAAAACCCAAATAGAGGCTGTTAGTTCCATAAAATAAGCAGGAATACAAAAGAATGAGCTGAACTCTGGCATTGGATGGTCGAACAAATGAGGTGGAACTGAGTTTGAAAGGCCACAATTGTTTTACAAAATTTTCCAGAGCTCCATCAATAATTAAACAATTGACAAAGTAGCATTTAAAGAGCAGATAATTTGATAATATTTTCAAAAACAGGAAAAGCTCAAAAATTGTTTCCTCTTTATCTCACCAGACAACCAGAAAATATTAGTAACTTTTAATATGCCCTACATCTACATCATGCAACTATCAGATTCTCTCTCTTGAAAGCAAGGTAAGAATTAAAAGAAATTTCACACTGTAAGTCCTGTTTCGCATTATAGCCATTGCCACCAGGAAAACGGTAAAAGGTATATTATATCAATCTAAAAATTCTAAATTCAAAATTATATTTCTTGTTACAAGAGAGATAAAAATGAGAACATATAAGACCTTAATACTCCTTAATTGTTAGATATGCAGCAGAAAAGTGGACAATAAATGACGAAGATATAAACATCTAAGAATATTTGAAAGGCATATAATACGTACAATATATGGGCCAATACATGTTACTGCTGATGTATGGATAAGATAATGACTAGGATAAGAACTAACCATGAAATAGATATCTTAATAAAAGGACAGGATACCATCAAATTTATTAAAACAAAAAAATTAAATGGCTGGGTCATATTCAAAGAATGAAGGTTAACAGACTTTCAATGAAGATAACGGAATGGAATGGATCTCAGTGGATGGTTGATGTGTGCCACAATTTAAGGGTGTTGGGCTAAAGAGAGTGGAGAGTGACCGCAGAGGATAGGAAAACATTAAATGTCTTAATTGAGAAAGCCAAAACGCACAAAGGTTTCTAGAACTAATGGAAGAAGACTTAAGTGCACATCCAAAAGCCATGCAAGAAGATAGATTCAGAAGATAAAATAAAGCAAATCACAAAAACAAAAGAGCTGATCATGTCATCAAAGTCAGTGCCTCACTCCATTGTTCATTCTAATCTGGCATGAATCACTTACAGACTGAAACATGAAATGTAAAACTTTCTAAACTTGGCTGTGGATGCTAGTGAGAAGCAAATGATGCAAATATGTGCTAGTTTATCTAAGAAAATATTTAATTTTGCACTTATTAACCCTTCCATATGGTGCCAAGGGTAAGAGTGGTAGCATTTGATTGATGACCGCTTTAAGTGGTGGCAGGTACCAAGCATTTTAACTCTGAAAACATGCTGTTTCCTGAGAAAGCATTGCTTCACATCTTCAATAGTACAAAAAACAATGATAAAGATTAAATAATAATGACTCTGAGGATATGGAAAATTAAAGTATATGTACAACACATTAATTCATTTACATCAATGTTTATTGAGTAGAACATAATTAAAAATACAGTTCACTAATTTTCTTTACAGATACTCCTAATTATTTTCTATACTATGATAGCTTTTAAAACAAGTATCTGGGCTAAAGTTCATTTTCAATTTGGACAACAGAATGTAGGCTCACGTCTCGCATTCTTGTGACACACCACACATTGTTTCTGATGTTTAATTTTGTCACCTTGAGGTGGAATTCTTTCAAGAAAGTGTCTTCCTGACAAGTGATGTAAATCACTCGCCAAACGAAACTTGCGAACTGCTCTTTTGTCATGTGAATGAGCAGATATCAATTGCTTGACCAGTTAAATACGAAATTTCAAAGATTTTGATTCTTTTCAGTATCTTTCAGTATCTCAGTATGATTATTTTCTATATAATAAATTTATTCAACACAGTGACATTTAACAAATTTCTGAACATTTTCATTTTCCATTTCTTGCTTTCCTTCCTTTTAAAAAGGTACATTTGCAAGTACTGATCTTTCAGATCTACCCCTAATCCATATATTTATTGTATTCAAGAACACACACATTTTAAAATTTCCTCTTTTCTTTTTGTAATGATTATAATTCATCCTTGGGGTAGATGCTTATCATAGAATCCTTTTTAGTAATCCATTTCAACATGGAAATGGGGCCTGAGTGTTAGGTGATGTACTCGCGTAGTTACAATTTCTTTTCCTGCAATATTTAAGGAAATTTTTTTCTGTTCAAACGTAATGTTCCTACACAATCTGTTCCCATTTTTTAAATATCATAGCTAATGATGGGGAGTTGTAGTAATTGTCCATCCATAGTGCGACCCATATTTACCAACAGCTGTATTAAACTTAAGGCAATATCTGTACTTTTGTTTATAGTATGTCTGACAGTCACAATAATTTCATACAATACCTAGTACAAGTAAAGATCCCTTTCATCCTGACGGCTTAGCGTGAATGGAAAGGAAAAATCCAAAATGTCCAGGTAAGGCATACCTCGTTTAGAAGAGAAAGAAAGGAAATTGCCGTCTACAGACAGCATACCATGTTCAAGGGTTCAGACAAGTGTTAAAACAAAACTTTGAATTTATTTTCTACTCTGTAACACAGAAAAAAACTGAAAACACATTCAAATACAATTCATTCCACATCTATGCATTCAGCAATAACCTTTAACATTGAAGAAGCAAGCACGCTACTGAACATCGCTTAACGACATAACTAAGCATGGTAAAGTAACTTGAGAAGTAAATTTTCTTTGTGACCCAACAAGCATGCACAGCACTTAACTTTGAAAGAAAAAAAGAAAAAAAAATACTACTTTAGGTGTTAGTTGATTGATAAATTGTCACTGAAGTAATATATTATTGTTCAGGGTGGCACACGATTATATATCAACGCAATATCCTATTGAAGAGGACAAGATATTTTGTTCTTGAATTATTATTTTGGATGTGATGAGCAAGCTGCAGATTTTTGGCTATTTATCTATTTTTATTTCTTCAATGGAAAACACAATATTTTTGGTTACTTATTAATTGTGAGGCGTTAGGAGTATTATATGGGAATTTTATAAGGCCTATAAATGCCTACTTCACATTGCCTATTGCCTGTTGCCTATTCTCGCATTTATTGATCAAAATTCTTAACCAAAAATTTCTAAAGGGTAAGTTTTTTCGTTTTCAATTTGCAACATACAGAGAAATCGAACAACGTACCAATAAATCTATGTTCTGTTTTACTGCTATTACAAAGCAAGTATTTCATACTATGAAATATGTGCAAAACCACTGGTCATGTTGGAGTCATTTTTACTTTGAATTTTTGAACATTTCTTTCTTCTAAAATGGCTCCAAAGTTTTTCTTAAAATGTTCTCCTTGTGTGTATCAAAGAGCGGTATGAAAATTGGTGCCGATCCAATTTTTTTGCAAACTATATATTTTTGAAAATTGCAAAAGTTCAATATGAAATATGGTGATTTTTGTTTTAAATGAAATCTGTTCTAAAAAAAGGTGATGTATAATTTTTTGAGAAAAGAGTGTTTTCTTGCATAATTATCGATTGAAATTAATTCAAATTACAATAAATAATTCTCTTTTTTTCCCCTCCCCCAAATAGAACAAGGGACGGTTAAAAGAACAGTGCAAGTCTCATTTTCGTTAAACACTGACTTTTTTTAAAATTGCAAATGTTGATTTTTAAAGAAATAATGCAAGAAAGTATATGCTGCTGTAGCATCATTATTTACATTTGTACGATACATAGTGATTGAAAAGAATAATACACTGTTTTCAATTATGTTTAAATTTAAGGTGAGAAAAAAGATCACATGCAGAGCACTTAAGTATCACCTTGCATTTAATGAACAGACACTGCAATTAACATTTTTTTTTGTCCAAATTTCCTTATCAATGATAGAAAGGATATATACAAGAATCATTTACCAGAATAATGATGAAAGCAAACATTATTATGTTACCTTCAGAAACTTGCTAAACAGGTACATAAATAATGATAAGAAACATGTATAGTGCAAATTTAAATTCCTATTTTTCGTTTTTAAATGCCTATTTTGCCTGCTTATTTCTACAATTTTTTTGTACCTATGGCTTAGTGATGAGTATGTATGTTTTCTCACCCAATTATTTCCATGTTCTGAAGATTAACACTGCAGAAGAAGAAGAAGAAGAAGAAGAAGAGAACGAGAAAGGAGGAAGAAGAAGAGAACAAGAAAGAAGGAAGAAGAAGAAGAAGAGAACGAGAAAAAAGGAAGAAAAGGCAAAAGAAGGAAAACGAAGAAGAAACGAGGAACACGAAGAAGGAGAAAGGAGAGAGAAGGAAAACAAGGACAAGAAGGAGAAAAAAGAGAAGAAGGAAGTTATTGCCTTAACTACACCCTGATGAATGTCGCAGAATGGGACCAGTGCCCTGGATGCAGCGTCTCTTGGGTAGCCAAGTAAGTAAATTCTGCCAAAGGTTTCCCAAAATGATCCCTGAAATGTACACTGCATGTTCCCACACTAGTTATGCTGGAAATTCGAAAACTCAATATTAGTGTTCTTTTATTATTAAAGATGTATTACTAATATTACAATACTAGTTGCAGAGACAATTGTGTAATTTTTGAAAAATAAAAAGTTACATCAATGTAACATAAATGTCATAATATATGGAACCATTTTTG